TGTATCAGCATGTCTGTGGGATTTATTGGGAGAGGCTATCTGTACTCTACAATTACAGTACCTCCTAACAAAATAGATTTGTAGAGTAATGGACCTATTTTGGGTGTCCATTTCGCCTCTCCTTATTGCTCAACAACAGTGCCTGGGTTAGCCTATGCTGGTCTCAGTGACCTCTAGAGATAAATCCAGAGAGGCCTATCAGACACAGATAAGGTTCTACAGCAGACAGCTGATGCATTTATCTGTAGCCTGGGCTGCTATTACATGTCATGTACATCTGTGATAACAGTACCAAGTCAGTCACTGAATTATTGGATTGTTCAAGACCGGGGCATTCAGGACTGAGCCGGTATAAGATGCTGGTACTCTGGGCACCCTCACCATCTTCTATATACAGTAGGCTATGCTTCAGTGAATTCACTTTGGAAATATTATTTTCTTTGAAAAAATCATGAATTGTTCTTATAGTAAGTCAACCAGTATCAGTAACCAGCCCATGTCTTGACAAACTTTGTCATGTCACTTTGACACGGAATGCTGTCCAGATATGCCAAATGTGACCCACTTTCAAATGAAAGAGCAAAATGACCATCAGAGGTGTGACGACAAATAAAGGTGGTCAGAAAAATAAAACTTCATGAGAAAATACACTGAGTGTACAAAACATTAAGAACACTTGCTCTTTCCATGACACAGACTGACCAGGTGAATCCAGGTGAAAGCTATGATCCCTTATTGATGTCACTTGTTAAATCCACTTCAATCAGTGTAGCTGAAGGGGAGGAGACAGGTTAAAGACAATTGAGACATGGATTGTGTATGTGTGCCATTCAGAGGGTGAATGGGCAAGACAAAATATTTATGTGCCTTTGAACAGGGCATGGTAGTAGATGACAAGCACACCGGTTTATGTCAAGAACTGCAACGCTGCTGGGGTTTTCACGCTGTGTATAAAGGCCAGCATCCCTTTTGACACCTCTTAGAGTCCATGGGGGGGGGGGGCAACTCAATATTAGGAAGGTGTTCTTAATGTTCTTTAAACTCAGTGGATGTCATCCTTGAAGAAAGGAGGTTGGCCAATTTGGCCAATGCACTGCCCTAAAGGCAAGTTTCTAAACAAAAAACATTATTTTTTACACAACATCTTCAGAACCAACACAGGTAAGTTAAGTTGTGGAACTGATCATGGCAAGCATTCTTGTCTGTTGTGGCTCTCTAGCTCAAGGCACAATAGCAAGACAATTATTATTTTATATTCAGAATTATTTTAAAGTTGTAAAACTGAAATGTTAAACATTTCACATTTTGTGTTTTAATTATGTTGGTCTGCACTGCAAAGTAGCCTATCATTTGGTTTGCATTATGAAAGACATTTACAAGGCATGAGCCGGGTAATGAAGAGATGGGGTGACGAAGATGGATGACGAGGAAGAGATCTGGCTGACGACTGTGGCACATTTTGGGACCATGGAGAGGCCAGAGATAGCTAGACTACTAAATTGGGCTAAGGAACAGAAGGTGGGTATTGGAGAAAGGTTATCAGTGCGTGTTCTGCAAGCAGTACAGTGGATGAAGGCGCGGCATGAGTGTGGTGAATGGATAGATGGACAGTAGGAAGAAGGAGAAGAGCCGAATGCAGTGGGAAGATGTGTGTTGAGGAAGAATAGCACCAAGTACAAACCGTATTCTGCTGACTCTGATAGCTCAGAAATTGAATCTGACGAGAGTGAGGATGAATTACTTGTGGTGGCAGGTGTGGTGAAGACCTCTGAGTCCGAGCCTCACCCTGATGGTCATGCAAAGGATGATTTAGGCCCAGTGGGAGTGACATTTTTGGAGAAAGTGGATCCCTGCCTTTTGGCTGATCCATATGTATTCTCAGCCTGGGTTGAAAATAAGTAGGGTATTGTGAAATCGGTGAAGGTAGCTCGAAGTGTACTTGTGATGATTTTCTGTGTTTCTTCTGTCCAGAGGGAGCGGGCGCTTCATGTCACGTGACTAGGGACAAGGCTGTGACTTGCTTTGCTCTCCGGAGCAGGGCGCCTTTGAAAATAGTGATTACTGTTGTGGCGTTAAGTGTTGAGGTGGAGCAACTGAAATTGAAGATTCCCTGTGTCTGTGATGCCCGCCGTTCGGTACAATGTACACTACCGGTCAAAAGTTTTAGAACACCTACTCAAAACAATGAAATAACACATACGGAATCATGTAGTAACCAAAAAAGTGTTTAACAAATCAAAAGATATGTTATATTTGAGATTCTTCCAAGTAGCCACCCTTTGCCTTGATGACAGCTTTGCACACTCTTGGCATTCTCTCAACCAGCTTCATGAGGTAGTCACCTGGAATGAATTTCAATTAACAGGTGTGCCTTCTTAAAAGTTAATTTCTGGAATTTCTTTCCTTCTTATTGCATTTGAGCCAATCAGTTGTGTTGTGACAAGGTAGGGGGGTATACAGAAGATAGCCCTATTTGGTAAAAGACCAAGTCCATATTATGGCAAGAACAGCTCAAATAAGCAAAGAGAAACGACAGTCCATCATTACTTTAAGACATGAAGGTCAGTCAATACGGAACATTTGAAGAACTTTTAAAGTTTTTTCAAGTGTAGTCGCAAAAACCATCAAGCGCTATGATGAATCTGGCTATCATGAGGACCACCACAGGAGTGGAAGACCCAGAGTTACCTCTGCTGCAGAGGATAAGTGTAACCAGCCTCAGAAATTGCAGCCCAAATAAATGCTTCACAGAGTTCAAGTCACAGACACATCTCAACATCAACTGTTCAGAGGGGACTGTGTGAATCAGGCCTTCATGGTCGAATTGCTGCTAAGAAACCACTACTAAAGGACACCAATAATAAGAAGAGACCTGCTTGGGCCAAGAAACACGAGCAATGGACATTAGACCGGTGGAAATGTGTCCTTTGGTCTGGAGTCCAAATTGGAGATTTTGGGTTCCAACTGCCGTGTCTTTGTGAGACGCGGTGTGGGTGAACAGATGATCTATGCATGTGTAGTTCCCACCGTAAAGCATGAAGGAGGAGGTGTGGAGGTGCTTTGCTGGTGACACTGTCTATGATTTATTTAGAATTCAAGCATGACTACCACAGCATTCTGCAGCGATATGCCATCCCATCTGGTTTGGGCTTAATGGGACTATAATTTGTTTTTCAACAGGACAACGACCCAACACACCTCCAGGCTGTGTAAGAGCTATTTTACCAAGAAGGAGAGTGATGGAGTGCTGCATCAGATGACCTGGCCTCCACAATCCCCCGACCTCAACCCAATTGAGATGGTTTGGGATGAGTCGGACGGCAGAGTGAAGGAAAAGCAGCCAACAAGTGCTTAGCACATGAGGGAACTCCTTCAAGACTGTTGGAAAAGCATTCCAGGTGAAGCTGATTGAGAGAATGCCAAGAGTGTGCAAAGCTGTCATCAAGGCAAAGGGTGGCTATTTGAAGAATCTCAAATATAAAATATATTTTGATTTGTTTAACACTTTTTTGGTTACTACATGATTCCATATGTGTTATTTCATAGTTTTGATGTCTTCACTATAATTCTACAATGTAGAAAATAGTAAAAATAAAGAAAAACCCTTGAATGAGTAGGTGTTCTAAAACTTTTGACCGGTAGTGTAGACCCGGTGGCGAGCGTGGTGAAACTGAGAAGACACTTTCTGTCCTTTTGAGTTTTAAAGCAGAGTCTTTACCTGATAAAGTCATGTTATGATATGTTAGTTTCCAGTGAGAGTTTTTGTGCCAAACCCACTAAGGTGTTTCAGATGCCAAGCTTATGGTCATGTTGCAGCAGTGTGTAGCAGGGAGGTTCCAAGATGTGAGAAGTGTGCAGGAGGGCATGAGACAAAGAAATGTGTAGTATCGGTGGAAGAAAATGTGTGTGTCAATTGTGGGGGTGGCCATGTTGCTGGTGATCAGAAGTGCCTGGTGCAAGAGAGACAGGTTGAGGTTGCCAGGGTCAGAGTAGAACAGAAGATATAATATGCTGAGGCAGTGAAGAGAGAAGAGGATGATGGGACAAGAGTGATATGAATTTGTGCTTCAGTAAGGTTGACTTCTTAGCATTCATTGCCATGGTTATCAACTGTACTGCAGAAATTGAACATAAATCACAGAAAATAGATGTTGTGGCGGCAGCTGCAGAGAAGTACTTGTGTGTACAAGGTTTTCCCTTAAGAAAAAAGATTGCAGTCAAAGTGCAGTACACTTAGAGTGCAGTATAACTGCAGTTTGCTGCAAATACTGCCTCCAAAATAACACTGTTTTTTTTTACTGCAGTAATGTTGCAGTGTAACTGCAGACTCTGCAGTACAGTGCATTTATTCTGCAATTACTGCATCCAAAATATCACAGTCGACTGCAGTTACTGCACTTTTACTGCAGTTTCAAAACTGCAATGTTTTTTTGTAAGGGTTACTGCAGAAGAGATACAAGGTGTGTTGAATGAAAGAGTCCTGTCCTCCAAGGCTGTCGGCCTGGTGTAGATTCAGTTAGGGTCAAAGTAGTGGAATGGGGTGGTGGTTTTTATTTTTGTGAAATAGTGGTATATAGGTGTAGGGTTAGTTGGTTGTGCAATTTTGTTCCTTTTCCCCCTTACAAAAAGAAAAAATAAAGTATCACAAATGTAACGTGATTGACCACACACTACCACACAGTAGGTGGCGGCATGTACAAACAAAATGTGCGAATGCCATGATACCAAAGAAGAAGAAGGAGAACTAAGAGACGGATTTCTAGCTACCCCAACCTACTTCCTCCAAGAGCACATGGAGCCGGTGACAAGACTAAACCGGTTCCTACGTAGACTGAAGGCCGGTTTCATCTGGCGTGTTGCCTTGGAGACAGCACCTCTATAAATACGGTAGTATCGAAACGCTTGGCTCAACTTTCCAGTTCTAGTTCAGCTAGAGAACGTTACACAGTTTCGTGACAGACTCGGCTGACAAGGGAAAAACGAGTCATATTTTCCAGGATTCTGGTCTAATGGACACACTCTTTGTAAATGCTTTTTAAGGTAAGCCTTCTTCAATAATTTATTCTACATATTCACAGTAACTTAATGTATTTTAAACAGGCTAGCTAGGTAGGCTATCGCATTCATTTAATCATTGCGATATCCACGTTGGCTTAGTCAAATGGTGTCAAATTGTGTTTAGCTAAAGTAATATTAAGGTAATGACATATTTAGCCTATTCGCTCATGGAGACCTGTAACATTACATTGATCTGTGTAATAGTACAGGTCTCCCGGGGCGAAGGGGCAATGTCACATCGTAAAACGAGTGGCTAGTTTTACTTAACTATCTTCTAATAATAGGTTTTTCGGTTTGATTGAAGTGATGGGTTTGGAGCAGCCCCAAGGGACGACGTGTATACTTTGGCGAACCTGGGGTTGGGTTTGGAGTATTGGCCAAAACTCGGTGAACGTTTTTGTTACATAAGTGAACAACTCCCAATCCCCAAACAATGTCTTTAGCTAGCTTGCTAAAATGTTTTTCATGATGAAATGCATACCGGTAACATTAGTAGGCTAATTTGACGAAGCTCGTGTGGCCATGCTGGCATGGTGTGAATGAATTAAGAATTTTGGGCGGTGTTCGAGAGCATCAAAACCGTGAGGTATCATGGGTAAATTGTGACAGACTAACGAATCTATAAGTAATATTGAGTAGTTATTATTTATGAGGCAGGGTGATTTGGAGGTCAGTCTCGACTCTCCTTTAAAGTCGGCTGCAATTTCGAATGCGCCCAATACAATGGCGCGCCAAGCAGATAAAATACTAATTGGTTCAGTCAGAAGCGGAATTTCTGCGTCAGTCTTTACTGATAGTTTTTTTTTTTTTTCATGCCGCTTAACGATTTAGCCACGGTCTCCCTGCTCATTGGATAATTTAGCCGCGTCCTTGTCATAGAGGCGGTTCTTCACTTGCGGGTTAGTAGAGACCTGAAGAAAAGATCGCGCTGTAGTAGGCCTACTCGAGGGTGTGGTTGTTCAACAAACAAATCCTTCAGATTGTCCGATAATGTATAAAAGCAAGTATATTGGCCATTAATACTCTCTGATAACACTGTTGCTGATGATGCTAACAGTACGTTAACTGCTCCTCAGTCATACTAGGCTATATGATTATCTAACCCGCTGTAGCTCAATTGGTAGAGCATGGCGCTTGTAACGCCAGGGTAGTGAGTTCGATCCCCGGGACCACCCATACGTAAAAATGTATGCGCACATGACTGTAAATCGCTTTGGATAAAAGCGTCTGCTAAATGGCATATTATTAACGGGCCTGGTTGAATGAATAATGGAAATGGCCATTAAACGCTAACACAGCATATGACACTGTCCTGTTTTACTGTATTTTCATATATTTGATCTTTCTGTTTGCAGAATAATCGCTTTAGGAAAGCGCACACTGGCTACTCTGCAGGCCCCGGCCTAGAGTCATATCTGAAAGGTTTCAACTTCACTGGTGAACCTCCTTGGCTGCTCTGCACCTGATTAAACTACTTTGCCAAATTCCATCTCTTTCTTGTCCAAGTAAGTGTTGCTTTCCAATCCACTGTCATTTCCAACATGCATGTCACAATATATTCTAGAATAGATATTACAGTACAGGCCTATGAGATTGGTTGTAATTGGTGTACTGTAGCTCTGGGAGTAATTATGCTAGTAATTTAGGCACGTTCCAGATGACAATGTGCAGTCTTGTACAAGCATTTTACTATCAGGGAATTGCCCTTGAAAAGTGTGCAAGTCACTGAGCCAACATTGATATTCCTTGAACAACTAGCCCACTGATAAACTGGCTAACAACGAGACAGTTTTTTCGGGTCTGTGCTACGATTTAAACTCGGATTTCCTTTCTCCACAGTTTTAATTTTCTTCCACCATGAACACTTTTGCTCCTGATGATTTTGCCTTCCTGGAGGAGGGTTTCTGTGCCCGTGACATTGTTGAGCAAAAGATCAACGAGACGTCCATGTCGGTAAGAACAACTTCCTGTTGTCCGTGATTTTGCTGCATTTGGTGTGAGATGTGTGATTTGATGCCGAGGCATTTGTCAGTGTAAGATGTATGTATTTCTTAATCCCTTGCATCCATGTCTTTGCCCCTCAAGGATGATAAAGATGCCTTCTACGTGTGCGACTTGGGTGACGTGCTGAAGAAGCACATGCGATGGGCGCGTGCCATGCCTCGCGTCACGCCCTTCTATGCTGTCAAATGCAACGACAGCCGGGCTGTTGTCACGACCCTGGCCTCCTTGGGCGCCGGCTTTGACTGTGCAAGCAAGGTTTGTCTCTTTCTAAACAGCTCCTGACTTGAAATGGTCTTGACCCCCTTCAAACCCTACTGCCCCGTGAATGTGTGTTTCTTGTACTGACCCAGTCTTTGTCCCATCAGACTGAGATCCAGATTGTTCAGTCTCTGGGTGTGGATGCTAGCAGGATCATCTACGCCAACCCCTGCAAGCAGGTGTCCCAGATCAAGTATGCCTCTGCTCACGGAGTGCAGATGATGACCTTCGACAGTGATGTGGAGCTCATGAAGGTGGCTCGGTGCCACGACGATGCCAAGTAAGAGATACCTCCACCACCATTCTTTAGCCACACTGAAAACACTTGGATTTGTAAGTAACTTATTTGGCTACTCTAGGAAAGTACACCTCTTACTTCTCTCTCCTTGTCTAGACTGGTACTGCGCATTGCAACAGATGATTCCAAGGCAGTGTGCCGGCTGAGTGTGAAGTTTGGTGCCACCCTGAAGGCCTGCCGGGGTCTCCTGGAGCGGGCTAAGGAGCTGGGCCTGGACGTTATCGGGGTCAGTTTCCACGTGGGCAGTGGCTGCACCGACCCAGACACCTACAGCCAGGCCATCTCTGACGCCCGCTGTGTCTTCGACTTGGGGGTGAGTTTCCTTCTCTGCTGTAACTTATCACCAGAATTGATCAATTTTATAAATGGACCCTTAACCTGGTAAGTTGGGTTCGCTTCAAGAGAAGGGACGCAGTTGGCCCTCAGCGGTAGGCCTAACTCATCTTTTGTTTGTTCTGTTTTCTTCAGGCTGAGGTGGGTTTCAACATGACCCTCCTGGACATTGGTGGCGGTTTCCCTGGGTCTGAGGAGACCAAGCTCAAGTTTGAGGAGATCACAGCAGTTATCAACCCAGCGCTGGACAAGTATTTTCCTGCCGACTCTGGGATTCGAATTATTGCAGAGCCAGGCCGCTACTACGTGGCCTCTGCCTACACCCTAGCTGTTAACATCATCGCCAAGAAGGTTATCATGAACGAGCAGTCTGCCTCTGACGGTAACAGCAAACTCGACTCAATCTGCAAACTTGTGGCTACTGCCTGATGTGCCAAATAAAATTGCATCACGCAACCCAAAGTAATAGCTAGCAAAGTTTCATTCAACTCTCTGCCCCTACAGAGGATGACGATTGGACCAGTGACCGGACTCTGATGTACTATGTGAACGATGGGGTCTACGGCTCCTTCAACTGTATTCTGTATGACCATGCTCACCCCCTGCCTACCCTGCACAAGGTAAGATGATTTAACACTCATAAACGCTTCATTTCAACCAAACTCACACAAAAAGCAAATGTATAAAACCAATTAAATAAGTTTGATTGTTTGTTAATCCCTGCTCCCTTCATCCTCCTACAGAAGCCAAAGCCAGATGAGCGTATGTACCCCTGCAGTATCTGGGGACCAACCTGTGATGGCCTGGACCGCATCGCTGAGGTGTGCAGTCTGCCTGACATGCAGGTGGGAGAGTGGTTGCTGTTTGAGAACATGGGGGCCTACACAGTGGCTGCCTCCTCTACCTTCAACGGCTTCCAGAAGCCAGACATTTACTACATCATGTCCCGCACAGCTTGGTAAGTTATTGGAAATGTAGTAGAATTATACGTAGAGACAAATGGAATGGGATTGTGGCAGCATGTCTCCATACAGTGATGTATCATCAATCCTCAACCTTCCTTCTGCTTCTAAATCGATTTTCTCTTGTCCTGTGTAGGCAGTGCATGCAGCAGATCTGTGCCCAGGGGATGCCCATTCCTGTGGAGGAGGTGTCCTGTGTGACTTCCAGCTGTGGCCATGAGAGCAGCCTGGAGCTGCCCACCAAGCCTTGCCAGACCTGTGTGCTCTAAACACAACACCAACATAATTCCATACATACCCATCGCCACTCTACGGGCCCAGTATCCTGTGTTTTTATTCATTTCCTATTCTGTTTTACTCATACTGTTGAAAGGCCAGTTACTTGACTGGAGGATGAGAGGGGCATGTTGGTGCACATTTCTCACTTTTATGTATGAAAGACAGATCTAATCCTGAGCTGAGGCTGAATCTCTCTTACGTTTTAGTCATTTAGCAGACGCTCTTATCCAAAGCGACTTATAGTTAGTGAGTGCATACATTTTTTTCATACTGGCCCCCTGTGGGAATTGAACGCCGACTCCTAGAAGGCTCCCAGTTTCAGTTGACTCCACTACTACATCTCATGACTCTAAAAGGGCTGATTGAGGGTGGATTACTTCGCCAGGTACAACATTTTCTCTGAATCCTCTTTCACACCGAACCCTTTATTCAATGTAGGGACTCAACATGCAGACTGTCCCTCTCCTCTTCTACTTTTCTGTATTTAATGTTTTTTTTTTGGTTTGTTGCTAGGTAGTACATCAGTTAATGATAATTATTAGTATTGAAGATGCATTTGAAAATGGATACGAAAGAGATGGGATTGCACATTTGTATTGCTTTCCTATGGAAACTTTTGTAAATTTTTTATTTTTTTTATGAATAAAATGTAGGTGCAGCGCTGAATAACGTTGTGGTCCTTTCTGGAGAAAAGGCAGTGTCCTTTGGGTAGAGGTGATTGGACACTGGATAACACACACCTTGAGGATATTACCACAGTAGTGATTCACTAACTATACTGAACAACAATATAAATGCAACGATTTTCCTGAGTGTCAGTTCCTATAAGGAAATCAGCCAATTGAAATACATTCATTAAACCCTAATCTATAGATTTCACATGACTGGGAATACAGATATGCATCCATTGGTCACATACCTTAATAAATAAAAGTAGGGATGTGGATTAGAAAACCAGTCAGTATCTGGTGTTACCACCATTTGCCTCCTGCAGCACGACCAATCTCCTTCGCATGGAGTTGATCAGGCTGTTGATTGTGGAATGTAAACTTTAAATAATCCCTTCAGGGAAACTGTAATGAAAACTACAGAGTGGAAACAAACTTGTTTGCAAAGAAATCAAGTAAAAACAGGTGAAGTACCATTTAAAATTAAATAAGAAAAATAAGTATTGTACAATCTAAATGTCAACTGTTCGTGCACATGCTGACAGTACGAAGGCGTTTTGTGACACAAAAGGTAAACCATTACCTTTCACAACCTCGAGACAGAGTGGTGGAGCGGAAGTGACAGAGATGAAGGGAGAGCTGAAAGAAGGCAAAACACTAGATGTCCTCCATCGCGATTGATCCACAGTAAATGGAGAGCAAGAAGTTGCTGGATATTGGCGGGAACTGCAACACGCCGTCGATCCAGAGCATCACAAACCTGCTCAATGGGTGATATGTCTGAGTATGCAGGCCATGGAAGAACAGACCTTTTCAGCTTCCAAGAATTGTGTACAGATCCTTGCGACATGGGGCCGTGTATTATCATGAGGTAATGGCGGCGGATTAATGACAACGATGGGCCTCAGGGTCATGGTATCTGTGTGCATTCAAATTGTCATCGATAAAATGCAATTGTGCTCGTTGTCCGTAGCTTATGCCTGCCCATACCATAACCCCACTGCCACCATGGGGCACTAATCACAATGTTGACTTCAGCAAACTGCTTCCCCACACGACGTCATACATGGGGTCTGCCGTTGTGAGGCCGGTTGGATGTACTGCCAAATTCTCTAACGACAAAGGTGGCTTATGATAGAGACATTAACAATAAATTCTCTAACGATAACTGGTGGACATTCCTGCAGTCAGCATGCCAATTGCACGCTCCCTCAAAACTTGAGACATCTGTAGCATTGTGTTGTGGGGCAAAACTGCACATTTTAGAGTGGCCTTTTATTGTCCCCAGCACCAGGTGCACCTGTGTAATGGTCATGCTGTTGAATCAGCTTCTTGATATGCCACACCTGTCAAGTGGGTGGATTATCTTGGCAAAGGAGAAATGCTCACTAACGGGGATGTAAACAAATGTGTGCACAAACTGAGACAAATACGCTTTTTGTGCGTATGGAACATTTCTGGGATCTTTTATTTTAGCACATGGGACCAACACTTTACACGTTACATTTTTGTTCAGTGTATATTTAACATTCTGAACTCATGAGGGACCGCAGTGGCTCGCAGGTGTAGGTCCCACACATGCAGTCAGTCAACTGATTTGTGCAATCAATCCATTTGTGGAGTTAAACTACTTAACTCTTAATGCACTGTGCAGAAATCGCTCCACGGTTGCAAAAATTCTAATAGTTGCCTAATTTCAGTTTGTGACAAAACAAGCAGTCATTGTGTAGATAATCATTGTACCGCTGTGAAATATATTTTCCATATTGTATTTTCAGCTGGTGTACAAAACCGAAAGTAGAAGGTGCAAAAATGTTATTTAAGAATGGGAAGCATAGAAATAGCACGCACATAGAATAGATGTAATATGTCTTAGACTTGCTTTCGATGAGAATGAAATATCTATAACTCATTTATATGTGAATTTGGTTGGGTGACACAGAAAGTTACATTTTAAATGCATTATTACTAGTAGGCCGGCCCTTGCCTTTTAGGGGCCCTAAGGGAGATTTGGTTGGGGGGGGGGGGGGGGGGCACCTCGCCGGCAAAACATTTGACTGGTCCCCATCTTGACAGCAGAGAGATGTTTTTAAGTACATTTCCTGCAATTCTACACATTTTGCCACGGGGCGGAGAGAACATTTCACAATTCTATAACACATTTCATGCAATTCTACTCATTTTGCCATGGGGCAGAGAAAGTTTTGGCTGTTTTAAAGCTACATTCCTGCAATTCTATCCATTTTGCTATGGGGTGGACTAATTTTAGCAGTTTTAAAGCAGATTTCCTGCAATTCTACACATTTTGCAGTGACTTATGCCATGTTAATATGATATCTGAGTGAGCGTGACTAACAAAATCAATGAAGGCCCCCTGGAGGTCAGGGACCCTGGGCACATGCCCTGCGTGCCCGGTCGGTATTTAGATAGCTGGCTAGACTAACTACCAATCTAAAACTTGTTAGCTGACATGGCTAATTGAGTGACTGTCAGTGACTGACATAAGAGAAAAACTGTTGATGCACAACCAAATTTCGAAATTGCATCTTGTGTATTTGACTATTCTTATTTTCAACACTAAGTTGAGAACCCGACTGAGTTCATAAAAAAATTAAGAAAGCTAAATTATTATTATTTTTGGACATTGGTCTGTGGGCCTACAAAAGGGGGGCCAGTTGCCCATCCCTGCAGTAGCTCCATGTGTAACAAAAGGACAAAGCCGAGGTGCACATCCGTATCGCTTAAAGTAATTAAAAACAATATGCTAACATGACAAACAACAAAACATTTGAATGCTGGTAATACTCATTATTTCACAGACTAGTTTTTTGGTGTTAAAAATAATGTTAAAAGACACTTAAAGTCTCAGGTAACATCGCTTTAATACCAGTGGCACTTGAAACACTACTAGCGGACAGAAACTTTGGGTGTATTCCTATAAAAATCACTGTTCAATTACATATTATTCAAAGAGACAAAGTTGGTATCATTAGAAAGCAGAGATACTCTTTACAACAGTAGCCTATGTAAAATGTCTCAATATGTTTGACTATAGTCAAGACATTTTCATGATCGTCATCATTGATGACCTATGTAGTAAAAACACAGTGGCTGTTGAAAGAGAAGTTCCCTCTTCCTACCTACAGATATCAGTCACTTTCCATCTATGCATTAGGGGCCCAGAGGGCCCTTCTCTTCTCCAGTGATGAACAGGTGTACAGGCTTCTGGGACTGCAGCATCTGAGCGGCCCTCTGGGCCCCGGTGATGGCAGCGAGGCGCTGGGCGTCGTAGCGGGAGTAGAGGGCTGTGCAAGTCCAGCTAGCCTCCTCTCCTTGGCCCCCTGCCTGCAGCATGTTGCACACCTCACTGTAGAAGTGAGGGTAGGAAGGCAGCCCATAGAAGATCAGGTTCTGGATGCCCTTGATGGTGTATCTGATAGGGGGGTTGACATAATTATTCAATGGGAAAGTTTAATGCAACATTATTATACACAGCTGGACAACTTCCTGTTTACAGACAACAAAAATGTGCCTGACATATTTCAAACGGAGCACCACTTTTACCTCTTGTAGAAGTGGAAGCGTTCGGTGAAGAGAATAAACTGTTTATCTCCCTTCTGGAAAAAGTGCCTGGCGCGGGACACCTCTGACTTGGTCGAGTACTCGCATATGCTGGCAAAGTTGATCTCCTCCTTCTTCATGTAGTTGCGCAGCCGGACGTAGTCGAAGTATGAGGGAACATAGATGAGCGTGTGGGACATGACCGAGTCCCTGTACTGGGGCAGGACCTTGTCCACAAAGAATTGGAACCTGCCAGGGAAAACGGGGTTAAATTAAGAAAAGGTTTTATTCATTGATTGATTTTAAGATGTCATTATAACATTTAAGCACAATAGGAGGTAGTCAATGACTTCCAATTGTTTACAATGAAACCTCACTATAATAAATAAACCATGAATTTCCTCTGTAGTCCGTTCTGATCTTGTGGTATTAAAAGTTGCCACTTGCAGAGTAGGGTTGATCTTGTCTTGACATGGAACGTATCAGTGCAGTGCGCCCTCTAGTATTCCTTATGTGTCTTACACCAGGCTGTCCGTTGCAAATCTGAGACTTCATTTGGCGATATTTGGGTAGACCTCTAAGACACTGTATGCTACTCCAAATATCGCGAAATCTGATATTATCGTTTTGCGCCGTTAATGACTAGATATTTCCAGACGGTGCATTTTTTTCATTCTTGTTTATGATATTAGTCACATTCTCATTAAATAATCTTAGTATGGCAAAAAATAAAGCTTAGTTAATTAATTTAGACTTCATTTTCAACATATTGATAAAGCCTAACTGAAGTTCAAACAGAGTATAGTCTTGTATCACAATATATCGTCTTGCACTTCACAATATATTGTCAATGTCAAAAATCACAATATTCAATTTATTCATATATCAGCCCAACCCTAATTTCCTGCCCAGATTTTATACCATCGTAGGATACTGCTGAAGAGTACAGAGTGGGTCTTTACCTTGCATCCTGGTCCATGAAGCTGTAAGACTTGATCATCTGGAAGACATGAGGGAGCTGAACCAGAACCTGGCAGATGGAGCCTGTTATAGGCATATTCTTTGTGGCAACCTGGAATAAGAATGTGAAAAACATAACTTTCATTATACCCAATTAACAATGTTTCTAATGGCATGGCGTATAACTCATTAGTTGAAATCGTACAGACGGTGGATTGAAGAGGCCACACAGGCTAAGTGCACACTGACCTGGCCACGGTAGTTAAAGCAGTGCTTAGAGATTATGTTGTTGATCTGTGGGTCCTGGATAGAGCTGAACACCAGTGTCTGGCGATAGTACTTGGCCCAGTTGTTCAGGTTCCACATGCGCACCCTGGAGAAGTCCACCCCATGGGGGTCCAAGGGCTGCAGGTTCAGATGCTTCATCACATGCTGGAAGAAAGCACAGCAGGGATTGTGGTTAAAGCAACACTGAGAAAAGTTCAGTGGTGTAGAAGGTCCCTTTACACAGGAAGGTAATCCACTAAAATACAAAAAAAGGCAGCCTGTATGATGCCATAGTGATACTTCCCTGAATTATACACATTATTTACAATAGCAGAAGCAGATATTTTTGGCTTGGTTTAACATTGTCCTTATAACAGAACTTGATAAAATATGGAGGCAACTTAATCTAGGCTACTGTTTATCAATCCAGCCTAACCCTGCCGGTAGCACTCCCTAACCGCACTAGCAGGTAACCCTAACACTATAGGTAACCCTACCTAACCGCACTAGCAGGTAACCCTAACACTATAGCTAGGTAACCCTACCAGTAGGTGCTCCCAGTTCTGCATGAGGAAGACGTCAGCCTGGTCCACCACCAGTATCTCGATGGAGGACAGAAAGTCAAAGTCCCGCTTGGACTCGCCCTCCACCCCCAGCACCGTACGCAGGCCCAGCGGAGACGCTATGATGATGTCAGAAGAGTAGAAGGGTGCATAGAGCCGAATGCTTCTCCTCAAGATGGACACGCCTGGTTTGAAGAGGGTGGGGGTCAAAGGTCGATAATGGTCAGATATAGCGGCAATGAGACGAATGTGGAGGCAAAAATGGAATGGAATCTATTGTGAATGAATGTCTATGTTTTGTGTAAATGTACTGAAATATAAAGGTATTTTAGGGAAATATAAACACACGACAACATAACAAACATTCTCATTGAGTTTGCCTGCAGTGTAATACACATCCTATTTGCTTGCTGACCTATCCTGAAGTGGTCGTCGATGTTGCCAGAGAAAATGGCGGTGTAGTCATCTGGTCTGAAGAGGTTGGGCGGCGTGTCCACTGGCTCCTCTCCAAACTCGTCCTTGAACCTCTTCTTGTTGCTGACATCCATCTTCCTGCCCTTGGTCTCCAGGAGGCTGATGAGGGTCTGGACCACACGCAGAGCTCCATCTCGGAACGGCACCAGGATCAGAACCTGTACACAGACGCATGAGGGAACTGATTACAATATCTTGATGGTGAAAAGGGGTAGACTAACCAGATGTGTAAACAACATTCAGTCCCTCCAACAGAGCTGGATTACTAATCAGCACACCTTGGTGCTACTCTGGATTGGGACAAAGTACACAAGTAAACAGGTGCCTTACCTTGGGTCGGGTCAGGCCTTGGTCCCGGGGCTCATCCTGTGGCTCAACCCTGGCCTTGTTCCCCACGGCCTTGTCCGCGGCTTGGTTCTCCCTCATCTGGGCATTATGACCCAGAACGCCGGAGTTGGCCTTCAGCACGTGGTTGAGTGCGTGGAGGCAATAGGCACTGCGGACCTGCCGGCCCTTGGTGAGTGGTGAGCTCTCTGGGAAGTACACGTCCCTGTAGGAACCCATGAGAGACAGCAGCTCCAGCTGCAGTGGACTGACCTCCTCCACGGCCCCCTTTGGGTTGGAGGTCTGGTTCAGAGACGTCCAGTTAGTTTCCAGGACTTTGTGGAGTGCAAGAGGCCTTTTGTCTTTCTCCTGGCCGGCAGGACCAAATTTCTCCAGAGGGGAAGTGCAGAGGAGGGTGCCCAGTTTTGGCCACTGTGGTGTGATGTGTGTGCGGAAGGGGATGGTGAAGGTGGACATGACGAGAGGTTACACAATGTTGGCCGTAAAACTTTAAACAAGAACACATACAAATATAATTAAGCTCAGACGAATGTGGGCTTACCTTGACCTGAGTCTTGGCCTTAGTGCCAGCAGTGATCCTTGTTACGTCCTCCTCGCTAATCTCTGTGTCAAGGTGCAGCTTAAAGGGGTCTAAAAAAGACAGGAAGATCTTTTAAAAATGGGAAACACATTGAAGCATTGCCTTTTCACTCCAAAGACACCTTCAAGAGTTGTTTGCTGCACTGAACTATGAAGACTTCCAGAGCTGGATAGTGGATAGTCCCCTGTAGCTCAGTTGGTAGAGCATGGCGCTTGCAACGCCAGGGTTGTGGGTTCGTTTCCCATGGGGGGCCAGTATGAAAATGTATGCACTCACTAACTGTAAGTCGCTCTGGATAAAAGTGTCTGCTAAATTACTAAAATGTAAATGGATAGAAAACCAGAATGAAGGAGGACTAAATCGTTCTCAATGTTCGCTTACCTTCCTTGTCCTCTTGTTTAGCAGTACTCTCTGCGCCCTCCTGTTCTCCTTCTCCACAGAAGTTGTTCTCCAGACAGAACTGAGACTCATGTTCCTTGTCCTCAAACTCCACTCCTCCTGCTGTTTCGTCCTCCATAGCATCCTCACCCCCTTCATTTGGTCCTGCTTCCTCCTCATCTGCCTCTTTTGGTGTCACAGTCAAATAATATCCTGCTTCTTGATATTCCTCATCTTCCTCACCATCTCCATCACTGCCTTCTACAATCAAGCAGCATAGACAATTCTAAATTCTGATCTGCAATGTCACTCCATGACTGTTCTAAAGACAAACGACAATCATGACGTAAACAATATTCAATATATCTGCAAGCAAAACTATGCTTCAATCAGTGTGCACTTTGACTTGCCTTCACTGAGATGCTCTTCTTCATCATCTACACTCTCATCTTCGCTTTCGTGGTCTGCATGGCTGCTTAGAGTTGACAACAACTTCTGGTATGCTGACTTTTGCTCAGTTTCGTCATCCTCGTCACTTTCAGCACTGGACTGCACCGGGCTGTCTGGCTGTAGCAAAGAGAAAACACATTTCAAAAACGCTAACTAGCTAGCTAACTAATTTTAAGTCAAATAAGTAGCTAGTTAGCCGATGAGACAGTACTTACCAGATCCAATATTTGTGTTTTCTCTGCCTTTTCTGTGACTCTAGAATTAATAATTTCAAACATTTGATTTATAAACATGGACTTTATTATATGCAGTGTCAAGTGATGTGTAGCCAGTAAGCTAGCTATTTGCTAGCTAGTTACGTTAGCTATAGCTAATTGAGGAATACAAGTCACAGTGAATTTGAATTGCTGCGTACATATCATGGAATGGATGCTCCTCCCCAAATTCTTTCAGATGTTTCTTCTGCTTTTTTGATAAATTGTTGAAGATCTGATTCTTCTGTTTTCTCTTCCCCATCGTTGACGGTTCAGTCACTAGCTAGCTAGATAGATAGCTAACGTTAGGTTGGTGGGGAGACACGTGTGTTTGGTTTTTTTCGCAGAACAAAATTGTCACTTCCGGTATTCCATTTAAAGGGACAATCCACTGTAGTCATTGTATGTTGATGGCAGCAAAGTTTTATATGGGACATATTTGATCAAAGCTTTGAGAAAAGACTCCACTTTATCATTTTCTCCTGGAACCTACTCTTGCTACCATAGAGGGATGCCGCTATAAAACAGATGCATCCTTGACAACATTATAATAGGTCATCAAAGTTTTCATCTGCTGAAGCTTTCATTTGCTGATAGGTTGCGGCGGTATGGCGTTGGAAAGTGGGGGCACAAGAACTGTTAGGTTGTTGATCTGCAGTGACCTCTCAACTAGCTGTTGCCTATTTGGCGATATTTGACCAATTCATTAATTATGGGGATATCAGTTTACTGTTTGCCTGTTTTAGCTGTTACCATGGCAGAACTAGTTTTTTTTACTCAGAACATTTTTTACTTTTACGTGTCAATGAGGAAAATGAACAATAGCGCATGTTGATTTTGTACATCCACACCAGACGCGATCAGGACACGCAGGTTGAAATATCAAAACGAACTCTCAACTAACTATATTAATTTGGGGACAGGTCGAAAAGCATTAAACTTTCATGGCTATTTAGCTAGCTTGTTGTTGCTAGCTAATTTGTCCAGGGATATAAACATTGGGTTGTTATTTGTCACTTCCGGTATTCAGAGGGGTGGTGGCACAGGAATCCTCATCTCTCCCAAGTGGTCATTCTCAATTTTTCCCCTAACCCATCTGTCTATCTCCTCATTTGAATTCCACGCTGTCACAGTCACTAGCCCATTTAAGCTTAATATCCTTGTCATCTATCGCCCTCCAGGTTCCCTTGGAGAGTTCATCAATGAGCTTGACGCCTTGATAAGTTCCTTTCCTGAGGATGGCTCACCCTTCACAGTCTTGGGGGATTTCAACCTCCCCACGTCTACATTTGACTCATTTCTCTCTGCCTCCTTCTTTCCACTCCTCTCCTATTTTGACCTCACCCTCTCACCATCCCCCCCCCCCACTCACAAGGCAGGCAATACGCTTGACTTCATCTTTACTAGATGTTGCTCTTCTACTAATCTCACTGCAACTCCCCTCCATGTCTCCGACCACTACTTTGTATCCTTTTCTCTCTCGCTCTCCTCCAACACTACTCACTCTGCCCCTACACAGATGGTAACGCGCCGCCGCAACCTTCGCTCTCTCTCTCCCACTACTCTCTCCTCTTCCATCCTATCATCTCTTCCCTCTGCTCAATCCTTCTCCCTCCAATCTCCTGATTCTGCCTCCTCAACCCTCCTCTCCTCCCTTTCTGCATCCTTTGACTCCCTGTGTCCCCTATCCTCCCGGCCGGCTCGGTCCTCCCCTCCAGCTCTGTGGCTTGATGACTCATTGCGAGCTCACAGAACAGAGCTCCGGGCAGCTGAGCGGAAATGGAAGAAAACTAAACTCCCTGCCGACCTGGCATCTTTTCACTCCCTCCTCTCTACATTTTCTTCATCTGTTTCTGCTGCTAAGGCCACTTTCTACCACTCTAAATTCCAAGCATCTGCCTCTAACCCTAGGAAGCTCTTTGCCACATTCTCCTCACTGCTGAATCCCCCCCCCCCCCCCTCCCCCCTCCTCCCTCTCTGTGGATGACTTTGTCAACCACTTTGAAAAGAAGGTTGACGACATCCGATCCTCGTTTGTTAAGTCTAATGACACTGCTGGTCCTGCTCACACTGCCCTACCCTATGCTTTGACTTCTTTCTCCCCTCTCTCTCCAGATAAAATCTTGCGACTAGTGACTGCAGGCCGCCCAACAACCTGCCCGCTTGACCCCATCCCCTCCTCTCTTCTCCAGACCATCTCCGGTGACCTTCTCCCCTACCTCACCTCGCTGATCAACTCATCCTTGACCGCTGGCCATGTCCCTTCCGTCTTCAAGAGAGCGAGAGTTGCACCCCTTCTCAAAAAACCAACACTCGATCCCACTGATGTCAACAACTACAGACCAGTATCCCTTCTTTCTTTTCTTTCCAAAACTATTGAGCGTGCCGTCTTTAGCCAACTCTCTTGCTATCTCTCTCAGAATGACCTTCTTGATCCAAACCAGTCAGGTTTCAGGACTGGTCATTCAACTGAGACTGCTCTTCTCTGTGTCACGGAGGCTCTCCGCACTGCTAAAGCTAACTCTCTCTCCTCTGCTCTTGTCCTTCTAGACCTGTCTGCTGCCTTTGATACAGTGAACCATCAGATCCTCCTCTCCACCCTCTCCGAGCTGGGCATCTCCGGCGCGGCTCACTCCTGGATTGCGTCCTACCTGACCGGTCGCTCCTACCAAGTGGCGTGGCGAGAAGCTGTCTCCGCACCACGTGCTCTCACCACTGGTGTCCCCCAGGGCTCAGTTCTAGGCCCTCTCCTTTTCTCCCTATACACCAAGTCACTTGGCTCTGTCATATCCTCACATGGCCTCTCCTATCATTGCTACGCTGACGATACACAACTAATCTTCTCCTTTCCCCCTTCTGATAACCAGGTGGCGAATCGCATCTCTGCATGTCTGGCCGACATATCAGTATGGATGACGGATCACCACCTCAAGCTGAACCCTGGCAAGACGGAGCTGCTCTTCCTCCCGGGGAAGGACTGCCCGTTCCATGATCTCGCCATCACGGTTGACAACTCCGTTGTGTCCTCCTCCCAGAGTGCGAAGAGCCTTGGCGTGACCCTGGACAACACCCTGTCGTTCTCCGCCAACATCAAGTAGGTGACCCGATCCTGCAGGTTCATGCTCTACAACATTCGGAGAGTACGACCCTGCCTTACACAGGAAGCGGCACAGGTCCTAATCCAGGCACTTGTCATCTCCCGTCTGGATTACTGCAACTCGCTGTTGGCTGGGCTCCCTGCCTGTGCCATTAAACCCCGACAACTCATCCAGAATGCCGCAGCCCGTCTGGTGTTCAACCTTCCCAAGTTCTCTCACGTCACCCCCCTCCTCCGCACACTCCACTGGCTTCCAGTTGAAGCTCGCATCCGTTACAAGACCATGGTGCTTGCCTATGGAGCAGTGAGGGGAACGGCTCCTCCGTACCTTCAGGCTCTGATCAGTCCCTACACCCAGGCGAGGGCATTGCGTTCATCCACCTCTGGCCTGCTGGCTCCCCTTCCTCTGCGGAAGCATAGTTCCCGCTCAGCCCAGTCAAAGCTGTTCGCTGCTCTGGCACCCCAATGGTGGAACAAGCTCCCTCACGACGCCAGGACAGCGGAGTCACTCACCACCTTCCGGAGACATTTGAAACCCCACCTCTTTAAGGAACACCTGGGATAGGATAAAGTAATCCTTCTACCCCCCCCCCCCCCCCCCCCCCCCCAAAAAAAAAAAAAAAAAAAAGTATAATTGTAAAGTGGTTATCCCACTGGCTATAGGGTGAATGCACCAATTTGTAGTCGCTCTGGATAAGAGCGTCTGCTAAATGACGTAAATGTGCCCTTGAGCAAGGCACTTAACCCTAATTGCTCCTGTAAGTCGCTCTGGATAAGAGCGTCTGCTAAATGACTAAAATGTAAATGTAATGTAATGTTATTTTACCTGAAATGCACAAGGTCCTCTACTCAGACAATTAATCCACATATAAAATGGTAAACTGAGTTAGTTTCTAGTAATCTCACAACCTTCAGTCTTCTTCTTCTTTGGGTTTTATATAGCGGTTGGCAACCAATTTTAAACTGGATTACCACCACCGACTGGAGTGTGGACCTCAGTTCATTTTTCAATCACCCTGCGTATATGCACCTAAAAACCAATGAGGAGATGGGAGAGGCGGGACTTGCAGCGCGTCAGGCGTCACAAATAGAACAAGTTCTATTTTAGAGGTTGTCTAGACAGACGCGCGCGAGCAGTTTGGATGCAATGATTAAATAACATTTATGTGTACATTTATTTTGCAACGGTGTGGTCAGAAAGGTTGTCTAATCCCGAGCCGACAATCGGGGACCCTTGCACCAGGGACGCCTTTGCTAATTTGGCAGACCCTGGCTGTGACCCCACTCTCTGAAGGTGTCTCAGGGAGAGCAGGATATGCTACAACAACAAAAACATTTCCAATTCACACATGCATATTAATACACACTTGTACATGTGTGAAATAGGACAAATAAGCACCCACTAAATTATATTATTATTAGCCTTACAAGAATGCACCATGTAAAACACCTTCTTGCATTCCAATGGAGGGCACAATCTCACCACAAGACAAAGAAATAGAGGTCGCATCTTAACAGAGATGTGACCAAGCTAACATATGGAAGTGTTTTTAAATGGTCATACCAAGGATCCTTTAGATATTTGATTTGGACATTTAGGACCCCTTTAGGTATACAAAATATATATAAAAAATGTATTTGATTAAACATTGAATTTGGCCTTACTGCTATTAGCCCATAGAAACGCATTGAATAACAGATTCATTCAATAAATCAAAATGAAGTAAGTTTTGAAGTGTCTGCCATATATCAAATAAAATTGTATTTGTCACATGCGCCGAATACAACCTTACAGTGAAATGCTTACTTACAAGCCCTTAACCAACAATGCAGTTTAAAGAAAAATAAGTGTTTAATAAAAAATAGATAAGTTAAAATAAAAATAAAAGAGATATATCTGAGAGATATAAGAAAGATCAGGAAATTATTATTTATTATTTTACCCATATTTAACCCCTTTTTTTTGGCACTAAATTACTTCCATATATACTTCCATGTATTTTTTAAGATTGGTACCGGGCTACCTTCAGACAAGTCTTGAGGCTTGTGAGCGTCCTAGAGCAAAACATGTAGGTGTTCGTCTTACCTTTCCATGGAGAGGTCATATTAGTGTGATGCCCAAACTGTTCGGATACTACAGTCATGGTCAAATGTTTTGAGAATGATACAAATACACATTTTCACAAAGTCTGCTGCCTCAGTTTTGATGATGGCAATTTGCATATACTCCAGAATGTCATGAAGAGTGATCAGATGAATTGCAAAGTCCCTCTTTGCCATGAAAATGAACTTAATCCCCCAAAAACATTTCCACTGCATTTCAGCCCTGCCACAAAAGGACCAGCTGCCATCATGTCAGTGATTATCTCCTTAACACAGGTGAGAGTGTTGACGAGGACAAGGCTGGAGATCACTCTGTCATGCTGATTGAGTTAGAATAACAGACTGGAAGCTTTAAAAGGAGGGTGGTGCTTGAAATCATTGTTCTTCCTCTGTTAACCATGGTTACCTGCAAGGAAACACGTGACGTCATCATTGCTTTGCACAAAAAGGGCTTCACAGGCAAGGATATTGCTGCTAGTAAGATTGCACCTAAATCAACAATTTTTCGGATCATCAAGAACTTCAAGGAGAGAGGTTCAATTGTTGTGAAGAAGGCGTCAGGGCGCCCAAGAAAGTCCAGCAAGCGGCAGGACCGTCTCCTAAAGTTGATTCAGCTGCGGGATCGGGGCACCACCAGTGCAGAGCTTGCTCAGGAATGGCAGCAGGCAGGTGTGAGTGCATCTGCACGCACAGTGAGGCAAAGACTTTTGGAGGATGGCCTGGTGTCAAGAAGGGCAGCAAAGAAGCCACTTCTCTCCAGGAAAAACATCAGGGACAGACTGATATTCTGCAAAAGGGACAGGGATTGGACTGCTGAGGACTGGGGTAAAGTCATTTTTTCTGATGAATCCCCTTTCCGATTGTTTGGGGCATCCAGAAAACACCTTGTCCGGAGAAGACAAGGTGAGTGCTACCATCAGTCCTGTGTCATGCCAACAGTAAAGCATCCTGAGACCATTCATGTGTGGGGTTGCTTCTCAGCCAAGGGAGTGGGCTCACTCACAATTTTGCCTAAGAACACAGCCATGAATAAAGAATGGTACCAACACACATCCTCAGAGAGAAACTTCTCCCAACCATCTAAGAACAGTTTGGTGACGACCAATGCCTTTTCCAGTATGATGGCGCACCTTGCCATAAGGCAAAAGTGATAACTAAGTGGCTCGGGGAACAAAACATCGAAATTTTGGGTCCATGGCCAGGAAACTCACCAGACCTTAATCCCATTGAGAACTTGTGGTCAATCCTCAAGAGGCGGGTGGACAAACAAAAACCCACAAATTCGGACAAACTCCAAGCATTGATTATGCAAGAATGGGCTGCCATCAGTCAGGATGTGGCCCAGAAGTTAATTGACAGCATGCCAGGGTGGATTGCAGAGGTCTTGAAAAAGAAGGGTCAACACTGCAAATATTGACTCTTTGCATAAACTTAATGTAATTGTCAATAAAAGCCTTTGACACTTATGGAATGCTTGTAATTATACTTCAGTATACCATAGTAACATCTGACAAAAATATCTCATTACACTGAAGCAGCGAACTTTGTGAAGACCAATACGCCTGTAGGGGTCGTAGAGCAAAACAGAGAGAGTCTCATCTTTCCATAGAGGGGTCATACCATTCGGATGCTTCAGACGTTTTTGTGAGAAGACCGATTTTCGGGATGTCTCCTGGTCTGACAAACACAGCTTAACAATATTATTCCTCATAGGTATCCTAGCGGGCCTGTGTTTACTTCCTGGAGACTGAAAGCAGTATGAAACTTCAATGTTGACATGTGGACTGTATCAAAAGGGGACTAATGAAGAATATATTTAAAAAATAGTTTAAGTAATATTCCCCTTTAATAACAATTTAACTTTCTAGTCACACTTTTTAAATTAAGTGTTCCTATTTAATACCTATGTAATTACAGGGTAATTACAGTGAAGGTACACATTGTTACAGTACTTAAAACAGCCTTTATCTGTTTCTTTCTCGTCCTGCTGTCTTGAAGGGTAACCTGCGTGGCAGCTGACCTCTTCTGAAAAACCCATGGGGAAAAGATGTTGGGAACTGAGACTGGGTGTACTGACTATGCTGGAAATAGAACACAACCTTTGGTCTTCAATATTTGTTGTATATGTATTTACATCAGGGGTTGTCATATTAGGCCCAGTGTCTCAATTACTCCCACTTGTCCCTTATGCTTGATGGCCTAAATGGTTAAAATAATAGTAAATAACCAATGCAATAGTAAAACCAATACAGTAGAGATCTAAACCCTACAGTAAAACAGACTAATCCACTAAATACAGCATTATTCCTGAGGCTGTGTGAATCAGCTATGCCAACCCGTTTTGGAAATGTGTTATTGAATGGATACAAATCTTTAAAGTCCTACAAATCTGTTTTTGATCAGTAAAAAAGAAAAAGACACTTTAACTATTTTGCATATTAGACTTTACCAAGGAAAAGTGTTTATCAGAATCGATGCGTCATATTTCTTTGCTGATTTTTAAAATACTTTAAAAGTTTAAATGTTTTTGTAAGTGGGCTGCTTTGTGAGTATAAATTGGACGTAATAATTTAAGACTGTGTTCTTGAAAGAACAATTCATTCTTTATGTAGAAAAACCATACTTAAAGCTGGAATCCGTAGCAGTGAAACTGCCACGTTCGTTTGCGATTTTACAACAAAGATGTTAATTCAAACAACAAACACTTTTTCCCTCGGACATCATTGCACTTGTGATAGAACAGCAGAGTATGTATTATGATTTTTTTTACCAAGATGCTGGATGCTTCTCTCCTCGATTCATAAACAAAAGAAAAACCATAACAAATGTGCCTGGTGCGACCAGTGGCGCTGTTTCACCTAATGCGGATTCCAGCTTTAAGGGTTTCTTGCGCTATTGTATTTAGAAGAATCATGTAGGTTTGTAAGGTTATCTATACATTAATAATTATAGCTATTTTTCAATACACTACATATAACCTCCCGAGTGGCGCAGTGGTTTAAGGCACTGCATCGCAGTGCTAGCTGTGCCACTAGAGATCCTGGTTCGATTCCAGGCTCTGTCATAGCCGGCCGCGACCGGGAGACCCATGGGGCGGCGCACAATTGGCCCAGCGTCGTCCAGAGTAGGGATGTAGCTCAGTTGGTAGAGCATGGCGTTCGCAACGCCAGGGTTGTGGGTTCGATTCCCACGGGGGGCCAGTATGAAAAAAATTAAAATAAATAATGTATGCACTAACTGTAAGTCTCTCTGGATAAGAGCGTCTGCTAAATGACTAAAATGTATATACAAAGGTATGTGGACACTCCTTCAAATTAGTGGATTTGGCTATTTCAGCCACACCCTTTGCTGACAGTTGTATAAAATTGAGCACACAGCCATGCAATCTCCATAGACAAACATTGGCAATAGAATGGCCCGTACTGAAGAGCTCAGTGACTTTCAACGTGGCACCGTCATAGGATGCCACCTTTCCAACAAGTCAGTTCGTCAAATTTCTGTCCTGCTAGAGCTGCCCCGGTCAACTGTAAGTGCTGTTATTGTGAAGTGGAAAAGTCTAGGAGCAACAATGGCTCAGCCACGAAGTCGTAGGCCACACAAGCTCACAGAACGGGACCGCCGAGTGCAGAAGCGGTAAAATCGCCTGTCCTCGGTTGCAACACTCACTACCGAGTTCCAAACTGCCTCTGGAAGCAATGTCAGCACAATAACTGTTTGTCGGGAGCTTCATAAAATGGGTTTCCATGGCCGAGCAGCCGCACACTAGCCTAAGATCACCATGCGTAATGCCAAGCGTCGGCTGGAGTGGTGTAAAGCTTGCGCGCCATTGGACTCTGGAGCAGTTCTCTGGAGTGGGTTTGGCGGATGCCAGGAGAACGCTACCTGCCCCAATGCATAGTGCCAACTGTAAAGTTTGTTGGAGGAGGAATAATGGTCTGGGGCTGATATTCATGGTTCGGGCTAGGCCCCTTAGTTCCAGTTAAGGGAAATCTTAATGCTACAGAATACAATTACATTCTAGACGAATCTGTGCTTCCAACTTTGTGGCAACAGTTTGGGTAAGGCCTTTTCCTGTTTCAGCATGACAATGTCCCTGTGCACAAAGCGAGGTCCGTACAGAAATGGTTTGTCGAGATCGGTGTGGAAGAACTTGACTAGCCTGCACAGAGCCCTGACCTCAACCCCATCAAACACCTCTGTGATGAATTGGAACGCCGACTGCGAGCCAGGCCTAATGGCCCAACATCAGTGCCCGACCTCACTAATGCTCTTGTGGCTGAATGGAAGCAAGTCCCTGCAGCAATGTTCCAACATCTAGTAGAAAGCCTTCCCAGAAGAGTGGAGGCTGTTATAGCAGCAAAGGGGGACCAACTCCATATTAATGCCCATGATTTTGGAATGAGATGTTTGACTAGCAGGTGTCCACATACTTTTGGTCATGTAGTGTATGTTTTACTCAATGTATGTTTTCATATCCTGAATATATGCTTTTTTTAAACACAAGATACAGTGGATTACTGTAAAAAAAAAAAAAAAAAAAAAAAGTTTGATAGCTTTTAAACATGGTCTTCGTTAGTTCCATAATTCAAATTTAAGTCAGTGTTGCCTTTTGACACAATGTAACATTTCAAATTTATTGGCACATTCCAATGGACAAATGTCAACCAATCACACACCCAGATTACATTTTTCACAATGTAAAGTAACCCCAATGAAGAAAACAAGTCCCCATTTCATAAAAAGAAAGGAATACAACAAATAAAACGTTGTATAACTATAACCCATATACCACACTGACACCCATACGGGACACGTAGTGCCTAACGTAGTGCCTCAGAAATGGGATCTCTGTTGACAGTCAGTGACAGTAGTGGGCTTTAGAACACTGTTAGCAAGGCAAAGACTCCATAAAGCAGAGCACAGGGGTACGCTACCAACAGCTGCTGGCCCTCCATAGCCAGGGTGGAAATGAAGATCTTGGAAGCTGAGAAACTGCACCAGCCAATCACCAGCAAGGCCAGGATAGTTCCAACGATCCCTCTGTATAGAAATCAAAAGTCAGATTTGAAAAAATTTACAACAAAGGACATGACAGAAAATAAATCAAGATGAGACAATATCAGTTGTTTTACGCAATATTATTTAGGTAACCTTTTTATTGTTTCTGGACTGGATAGGCCTACTCACTGTAGGGAAAAGATGACTGCAAAAGCAGATAGTGCAACCATGGGGAGGAGGCAGTATCCCAGAACACTGGCTACACAGCCATAGGACACAGTCAGGGAACTCAGCAGGGTCAACAGGGTGTACATCGCCATGCAGCCGATGGCACTGATCCCATAGACATAGCCAAAGTGGGATTTGCCTGCCTACATAAAATGGTAAATGCATTTAGTTACAGTACATGCTTTCAGTACAGTACATGCACATTTACATAGCTACAAATGCTTTTTATTTGAATAGTGTCTTATGATGACTTGGCTGTGAAAATATGAAGCACACACACACACGGACATGAGCTGATCCGGAGGTTCCTCACCATAAGTAAAGTGGCACCCAGAGCAATACAGAACAGAATAGGGCCCGTCAGGTCGGTCTCATTCATGATGCTGCCATCAGCTGGCATCATAGGGTTCAGCACTGTCAACGTCTTCTGCCATATGTGCTCAAAATTAATGCCAAGCTCTGCACAAATAAACAACAGATTAATAAAAACAGATGTGAATATGAGAAGACCCATATACACTTTCACATTGAAATATGTTATTTCTTTAATTTGAGTTCTGTTAAAGATTCATCCCCAGATAAAACAATGTGTTGAATAAACCCCCAGTTTAGAGCAGTACTAGTGACTCAGGTCTTACCCTCCAGCAATGGAGACTCTTCTTTATATGATCCGTCTGTTCCAGCTGTGTATTGATATGTCCCAGCAGGCATTGGTGGCTGGAAGGCCTGTCCTGTATAAGGCTGGCCCGTAGAGGGGGCAAACACACCAGGCATGGACACATCTATGCCACTAATAACAAAACACAAATCTTACTGGCTAAATGTATCTACTTTCTTTCCAAAAACGTAGGGGAAGATGAGCGGGATGTGCCCCCTTTGTAACCCTCCCTTTCTATGATGACATAATGTAATTTACCTTCTTATTGACACATTCAAATCTTCCCAGTCCAAAAGTTGAATGAATAGTTTTACACCACCACTCAGGAATGCAGAGTTTACCCCATATACTTACTCATCCTCATACTCTGGGTTATGGTCATAGCCATCGCCGTAGTCGTAGGCCACCTGTCCCTGGTCATCGATGTAATACCCTGACTGGTAGAAGTCCTGTTCAAATTGCTGAAAGTCCCCCATTGCTATAGAGTAGGCAGAAATGATTAAGATAAAGATCATGACTGTAACAGTAGAGTGAAGTGAGGGGTATACCACAAATCACCATTATATAAACTACAAATGATAATACAAATAGCTATTGTGCTTTATCCTTTGGTCAACAGCATATTCACACTACAGCAAGCCAGATATCCTTAAGATTTCACTCAAACTGCTAAGGCAAGATCATATTTAGTAACTGGGATTGCTTATCTCAATAGTATGAGGTCGCATCAGCACATACTTGATTGGATCTGGAGGCCTGTACCAGCCTATTGAAAGTATATTTACAGTCACAGCACCAGTGGCCTAGTAGCAACACTAAATAAACATGCATAAGAAACAGCCAATGTAAATATGTATGCCTGTGATATCAATCAGAGTCTATTCACTTCATTAAAGTACAATCACACCCCACACAGAGCCTTATTGCTAAATTCAGATTTCAAACCTTGAGGTAAATTCTCAGCAAGACCTCTTATTATGTTGTCAAGTAAGAGTTTGGGAAGAAAAGTTGACGCCTGTGTACTATAAATAGTTTTCTATATTTGAACTGGGGGAATGACAAACCCAGAGAAGCAGACTAAGTAGCCCACTATCTATCTAATCTATTTCTTAATTGCTCTCTTTTTATTCTTTTTCATTCTGCTAGGTTTGGTAATAGGTATAATGCACATTACATCCATTTGCAGAAATGCAATGTTTTTGGATACTCGGTGGTACAGAACTGTTTACAGGGCTCTTATTTTGAAGCATTTTCGAACAGCGTAACCCGGATGTTGCTGGCTCAACATGGGTCAAGTCAAACATCTATTATATTGACAAGATAGTTGAGTGACTGCTCTAACAATGGCAATACATGTCCTCAAAGATGGAAGAGTCGGTGCTATCCGGAATCCTTGGGACGTCCCTACCCCATTGAAGTTTATTTTTGAAATGGTTAAAGTTAGGGTTAGGTAAGGGTTATGGGTAGCGACGTTCCAAGGATTGCAGATAGCTCTGACTTGACCAAGATGGAAGGCAGGCGGCGAGATCAGGTGGGACCATTCTAGCCAATTAGAGTGCAGATACTAAGTCGTTTTTATCAAATTTGCCGGAATTTCATTTGCATCCACTTATATTAGTACATTTGTAAGAGCCTAAACATTACGAAACTTCTATTCGATCAAATAAGCCTTACGTAATTCGACACTCTCTCATAGACCTCCAAACAAATAAGGGCTTATCGCACGCGGTAAGATTTTGGGCTGAGTAAATCCTCTTGCTTCGCCCCTTCCGCTCTGATCAAGTCAGTCATGTGATTTCTTTGTACTGAAGCTGAGTCAGAAAAGCATCGACGATTTTGTTCCAATTAAAGCAAGAAAATAAGGTAACCATGCATTAGCATTCACCAATACTGTGCATTTTAAAAGTATCCGATAAAGGTAGTCATACCTTGTAGCTAGTGTAAATGGCATTTGGTAAGTAGGTGCGTATTAAAAACAACCAAGTTCAGCTAACTAGCTAACATTACGTAACCTTCCTAAACCCAGTATCAGCTGGAGATGGCTAGCTGTCAACGGAAGCTTGGGAGAGCACAAAAAATGCCTGCTGATATTATTTAGTTTTACAGACACCCTTGCCATAATTCAGTTCTCTCTTTTAGTAATTGACGGGGGAATAAAATACATTTCCACCATGGCGGATGTAAGTATTAATTATTTGAACACAATCACTAATTATAACGATCTAACGTTAGCCAGATGAAGTCATAGCCAGTTGCTTCACGAGTGTAGTTAGCTATCTGGTCTGTGTTATTCTAACACATTGACACATTTGTTGCAGGACTTGAAGAGATACTTGTACAAACAACTACCAAGGTATGTTTGTTGTATGATTATGGTGTGTTCATTGTGATTCTTCTGTTGCTGAAACCTAATATTAATTTGACTAACGAATTATGTAATGTGTAGCTGACTAAACTCGACCAACTAAGTGGAGCAGAGACCAGGCTTTGTGGAATTCAGCTCCAACTACATCGATTTGCCCAAGGTCAATACTTAAAAATAAATAATGAAACGCTTACCTTGTATTTATGTTTGTCCTCTGTAGTTACGGGCGTGCCTTTGTTTGCTGAAATCCTTACTTTAACATTAAACGTTAATCACATACATCCACAGACTTTGCTCATTACTGTTACTCTAAAATGGCAAATGTGCATGTGCCAATTTGAATCTCAACAAGGAAACAGTCGGTGGTTGCATTTGATTAAAGTTTATTGAAAAAGTATGGAGGACAAACATAGGTACAAGGTAAGCGTTTCATAATTTAAATTTTTTGAAGTATTGACCTTGGGCGCGTCAATGTAGTAGGTACTGAATTCCACAAAGCCTGGTCTCTGCTCCACTCCGTTGGCGTTGATCAGAAACTTCCTTCACCATGGACTGGAGTTTAGTCAGCTATGTCTTGTGCTGCTCTCTTTCTCCTTATCCACCAGTGTTGAAGGTCTTCATGCAATCGTAGTGACAGACAGGGATGGTGTCCCAGTTATCAAAGGTAGGTCTCCTCACAACTGGGTTCTGTTCTAAAAGCTAGGTCATTTAGTTGACCTTCTCTTATCCATGTCCAATGTGTTGTGCTCAGTGTACCTGATATTTTCTCCTTCAGTGGCGAATGATAACGCACCAGAATATGCACTACGGCCAGGCTTCCTCTCCACCTTTGCATTGGCCACCGACCAGGGCAGTAAGCTAGGGCTCTCCAAAAACAAGAGCATCATCTGCTACTATAACACATACCAGGTAAGTTAAATCTAGACCTAACACTACATTGTAGCCTTGGCCTGGGGTGACTTGATAAGTTGAGTCAGGTGTGTTAGTGCTGGGCTAGAACAAGTGTGCATTCCCTGGGGCTCCCCAGGAATGGATTGAGAAACACTGACCTACAGGAAAGTATTCAGACCCCTTGACTTTTTCCACATTTTGTTACGTTACAGCCTTATTCTAAAATGGATTAAATCGTTTCCCCCCTCAATCTACACATAATACCCCATAATGACAAAGTAAAAACAGTTTTTTTGAAATGTTGGCAAATGTATAAAATAAAAAAAACGGAAATATTACATTTACATAAGTATTCAGACCCTTTACTCAGTACTTTGTTGAAGCACCTTTGGCAGCGATTAAATAGTATTCTTGGGTATGACTACAAGCTTGGTACACCTGTATTTGGGGAGTTTCTCCCATTCTTCTCTGCAGATCTTCTCAAGCTCTGTCAGGTTGGATGGGGAGCGTCGCTGCACAGCTATTTTCAGGTCTCTCCAGAGATGTTAGATCGGGATCCAGTCCGGGCTCTGGCTGGGCCACTCAAGGATATTCAGAGACTTGTCCAAAAGCCACTCCTGCGTTGTCTTGGCTGTGTCCTTAGGGTCGTTGTCCTGATGGAAGGTGAACCATCGCTCAGTCTGAGGTCCTGAGCGCTCTGGAGCAGGTTTTCATCAAGGATCTCTCTGTACTTTGCTCCGTTCATCTTTCCCTCGATCCTGACTAGTCTCCCAGTCCCTGCCGCTGAAAAACATCCCCACAGCATGATGCTGCCGCCATGCTTCACGGTAGGGATGGTGCCAGGTTTCCTCCAGACGTGACGCTCTGCATTCAGGCCAAAGAGTTCAATCTTGGTTTCATCAGATCAGCTTTTTACTGAGGAGTGGCTTCTGTCTGGCCACTCTACCATAAATGCCTGATTGGTGGAGTGCTGCAGAGATGGTTGTCCTTCTGGAAGGTTCTCCCATCTCCACAGAGGAGCTCTGTCAGAGTGACCATTGGGTTCTTTGCCACCTCCCTGACCAAGGTCCTTCTCCCCCGATTGCTCAGTTTGGCCGGGCTGCCAGCTCTAGGAAGAGTTGGTGGTTCCAAACTTCTTCCATTTAAGAATGATGGAGGCCACTGTGTTCTTGGGGACCTTCAAAGCTGCAAATTTTTTTGGTACCCTTCCCCAGATCTGTGCCTCGACACAATCCTGTCTCGGAGCTCTACAGACAATTCCTTCGACCTCATGGCTTGGTTCTTTGCTCTGACGTCAACTGTGGGACCTTATATAGACAGGTGTGTGCCTTTCCAAATCATATCCAATCAATTTAATTTACCACAGGTGGATTCCAATCAAGTTGTAGAAACATCAAGGATGAGCAATGGAAACAGGATGCACCTGAGCTCAATTTCGAGTCTTATAGCAAAGGGTCTGAATACTTATGTAAATAAGGTATTTCTGTTCTTTATATTTAATACATTTTAGAGTAAGGCTGTAACTTAACAAAATGTGGAAAAAGTAAAGGGGTCTGAATATTTTCCGAATGCACTGTATGTGCCTTGTTATACTGACAATCTTGTTTGATCGCCTCTCCTTTTGCCAGATTGTGCAGTTTAACCGATTACCATTGGTGATCAGTTTCATTGCAAGCAGTACTGCCAACACAGGTAAGATAAAGATCTCTACTTATCATATCTCCTCTGCATGAATGAGGATGAAAAGTACAGCATTCTGAAGGGTTATCCAAACTTAACTGATGTTGTTTGTAGGTTTGATCATCAGTCTGGAGAAAGAGCTCGTACCACTAATCGAAGAGCTACGGCAGGTAGTGGAGGTTGCATAGGAGTATCACCTTGACAACAAAAGGACTGTTCTGTGGCAGAATCACAAGATTGTGATCAGATCATGAAAAAGGAAACTGACATCTTTTTAATATCTCTATCACACACACAGATGTCAGTCTTGCCGCAACAGAGCCATGTTGTTTGATAGTGTCTTGATGCTGTACTGTTTGTCCTTCATGTTCTAATACTTGAATGTAACCCCTTCCTTACTTGTGTTTTTTGTAATTAAACTGTGTGACTCTTATGTAGCCATTTTCTTAAAATAAATATTCACAGAAAACATAGTATGAGGGTGACATCTTGTTGAGTAAAATGTAAGATCAAGCAAATGTCAACCAGTGAAAGATATCGGTCAATTTAGAAAAAGGAATTCCTGGAGGAACTGAAGTATCACAAAAAAAAAAAATATATATATATATATCTACAACATTGGCATTGTGCATGTACCAGAAATTGCATGGTAAACATGGATATTGTTTAGATGTTCAGAGCCCACTTGTCTTTTGTCTTAGGTTACCAGGCATTAATCTAATCTATGTGGAGCAGAGAGGATCTCTGGCTAACAGGAGTGACAAGCTACCAGTCTTGAGGTTAAGAACTTTTAGTTCATTGTGGGAATATGCCTATTTTGGCTGTCAACATCTGTCAGCTCCTCCTCTTCTCTCCGCTTCATGTTGCCATCTTCCTTTTATCTGTGACTGAAAACGATAAACATTCATTTGTTAGGCTATTTTGCTCTGACTCTACCCCCATTAGTTAAGCATTTGGACTAAGAGGTAGCCAGTTCAAGCTTTGTTTCTCTCACCTTTTAGGTTTGTGATACTTGACCTAAGTCACTGTTGTTATTTTTACATTTACGTCATTTAGCAGACGCTCTTATCCAGAGCGACTTACAGTTAGAGTGCATACATTTTTTCATACTTATGATTAACTCGTGTGTGCTTCACTCATAAATTAGCTTGTTATCATACCGATGGAGCGTTAGCCACCAGGTCGCGCTCTGTTCATCCTGTCTGCATGGCGGTGTGAACCTGCACAGACTCGTAGATGGATGGCTCTTCTACACACCATCGATATGGGCATTTAAGGACGATGAGGGTACCTGGGTGAATGGAAGGTCAAGGTTTAGGTGAGGGGTCTCAAGGGTATACCAAAGGGTATATTTCAGTTGAAAATATTAATATACAGCAGGGAAATGGTTAGGTTTAGAGTTTGAATTCAGTAAGGTCTGTAGAACTGGTCTCAAGTTAACCTGTCTCAGTGCCCAGCAGAGGCTGGTTGGCAAAATGGCTGACAAAGTTCTGGAGTGATGCAAACTCATTGAAGCCGAAAGCGTAACCACTGCTTTTCCGTGTCACTGAAATGTTTCACTGAGTCTTTGGCTCTGTATATGAGGACATAAACAATAATGTGGTGAATGGGAATCCATCTGAAATGGGGCATAGAAGAGGGAGGAAGCTTTTTTACTTTTTAAGAGGGAGGGGAGGAGAGAGGGGATGGGTAGGCCCACCTGACAGATGTCGAAGCTGCCAGGACCCTCATGACTGTTTCAGAGGAGATAGCTGCCATCTTTCCATACGCACAAAAAGCTTATTTCGCTCAAATTTTGTGTAGAAATGTGCTTATATCCCTGTTAGTAAGCATTTCTCCTTTGCCAGGATAATCCATCTACCTGACAGGTGTGGCATATCAAGAAGCTGATTAAACAGTATGATCATTACACAGGTGTACCTTGTGCTGTGGACAACACCCTGTCGTTCTCCGCTAACATCAAGGCGGTGACCCGATCCTGCAGGTTCATGCTCTACAACATTCGGAGAGTACGACCCTGCCTTACACAGGAAGCGGCACAGGTCCTAATCCAGGCACTTGTCATCTCCCGTCTGGATTACTGCAACTCGCTGTTGGCTGGGCTCCCTGCCTGTGCCATTAAACCCCTACAACTCATCCAGAATGCCGCAGCCCGTCTGGTGTTCAACCTTCCCAAGTTCTCTCACGTCACCCCGCTCCTCCGCACACTCCACTGGCTTCCAGTTGAAGCTCGCATCTGTTACAAGACCATGGTGCTTGCCTATGGAGCTGTGAGGGGAACGGCACCTCCGTACCTTCAGGCTCTGATCAGTCCCTACACCCAAACGAGGGCATTGCGTTCATCCACCTCTGGCCTGCTGGCTCCCCTTCCTCTGCGGAAGCATAGTTCCCGCTCAGCCCAGTCAAAACTGTTCGCTGCTCTGGCACCCCAATGGTGGAACAAGCTCCCTCACGACGCCAGGACAGCGGAGTCACTCACCACCTTCCGGAGACATTTGAAACCCCACCTCTTTAAGGAATACCTGGGATAGGATAAAGTAATCCCCCCCCCAAAAAATAATAATAATAATAATAATTTGTAAAGTGGTTATCCCACTGGCTATAGGGTGAATGCACCAATTTGTAAGTCGCTCTGGATAAGAGCGTCTACTAAATGACGTAAATGTAAAAGGCCACTAAAATGGCGTTGTGTGGGCGAGCGGTTTACTGATGTCAATGTTGTGAACAGAGTGCCCCATGGAGGCGGTGGGGTTATGGTATGGGCAGGCATAAGCTACGGACAACGAACACAATTGCATTTTATCGATGGTAATTTGAATGCACAGAGATACCGTGATGAGATCCTGAGTCCCATTGTCGTGCCATTGGCAGAGTGCCCCATGGAGGCGGTGGGGTTATGGTATGGGCAGGCATAAGCTACGAACACAATTGCATTTTATCGATGGTAATTTGAATGCACAGAGATACCGTGATGAGATCCTGAGGCCCATTGTCGTGCCATTCATCTGCCGCCATCACATGTTTCAGCATGATAATGCACGGCCCCATGTCGCAAGGATCTGTACACAATTCCTGAAGCTTAAAATGTCCCAGTTCTTCCATGGCCTGCATACTCAACAGACATGTCACCACCCATTGAGCATGTTTGGGATACTCTGGATCGACGCGTACAACAGCGTGTTCCAGTTCCCGCCAATATCCAGCAACTTCGCACAGCCATTGAAGAGGAGTGGGACAACATTCCACAGGCCACAATCAACAGCTCGATCAACTCTATGCGACAGAGATGTCTTGCGCTGCATGAGGCAAATGGTGGTCACACTAGATACTGGCTGGTTTTCTGATCCACACTCCTATCTTTTTTGCAAAGGTATCTGTGACCAACAGATGCATATCTGTATTCCCATTCATGTGAAATACGTAGATTAGGGCCTAATTTATTTATTTCAATTGACTGATTTCCTTATATGAACTGTAACTCAGTAAAATCTTTGAATGCATGTTGTTTATACAAACACAACAGGTAAAGTTTTGGTCCCATGTTTCATGAGTTGAAATAAAATATCTTAGAAATTGTCCATACAAAAAAAAGCTTATTTCTCTCAAATATATGGCACAAATTTGTTTACATCCCTGTTAGTGAGCATTTCTCCTTTGCCAAGATAATCCATCCACCTCCCACGTGTGGCATATCAAGAAGCTGATAAAACAGCATGATCATTACTCAGGTGCACCTTGTGCTGGGGACAATAAAAGGCCACTCTAAAATGGGCAGTTTTGTCACAACACAATGCCACAGATGTCTCAAGTTCTGAGGGAGCATGCAATTGGCATTCTGACTGCAGGAATGTCCACCAGAGCTGTCGCCGGAGAATTGAATGTTAATTTCTCTATCATAAGCTGCCTCTAACTTCGTTTTAGAGAATTTGGCAGTACATTCAACTGCCCTCACAACCGCAGACCACGTCCGGCTTCTTCACCTGCAGGATCGTCTGAGACCAGCCACCCAGACAGCTGATGAAACGGAGGAGTATTTATGTCTGTAATAAAACCCCTTTGTGGGGAAAACTCATTCTGATTGGCTGGGCCTGGTTCCCAAGTGGGTGGGCCTATGTCCTCCCAGGTCCGAAAATTGATATACCAATCCGAGATTGCCCCTTTTAAATTCAATATTTACAAAAAAATGGGGTAAACAGTTATTATAAATAGGCTAATAACAATACTATGATGCCTAGTGAAGGGATTTCCGACACGCTGACCAAACGGAAATTACCATATGAAGAAGTTCTAAGCAGACACGCCACAACAAAAATGTAATACTGTAGGCCTACTGTAGTAATGTCTGTGCCATAGTCATGTGCCCACTGTGATCTCAACGCGTCCACAGTTTGTAGGATTAAACTGTTCTTTATCCACATTTTAAAAGGGAGGTAGGGGAGGGGAGGGAGCTAGCAGGGTTGACTGAGGCCCATTTACCCTTGTTTAGAATGCTAGGCAAATGAAGTAGTTTCTGTCTTATAATAACCCTAATTATTGTACACAAATTAACATCAGACTTTTAACACTAAACTCAAATAATTAACATGACACAGAAAACGTGAGTTGCTAATGTATTTATACCAATATCTGATACAGTACACACATTTGAAATTAAGTTGTAAGTCGCTCTGGATAAGAGCGTCTGCTAAATAACAAAAATAAATAAAATAAATAAATAAAGTTGATACAAAATGATTTCTAATTATTGCTCTTAAACTTTTCCAATTTGACTATATTCAAATCAGCTGCCTTTGCCATGTTGTACAGGATTTGATATGCAGGATTTTACTGTAAAAATCTATTTTAAAAAATACCTCAGTCTAATGTTACCACATAAAATACTGAGGATTGATCTGTGTGAATTGCATGTGGTAGAGGCTGTTGCATAGAGAAAGAGAAACAGGTCACTTCTCAGTAACAGATATAAATGCCAATGGCATTATCCAGGCAAACTCAAGAGAACATTTGTAAACGCCTACTTCCAGAGGTGGAAAAAGTACCCAATATTAGTATTTGGTTTTAAATATACTCAAGTATTTAAAGTAAATGTAATTGCTAAAATATACTTAAGTATCAAAAGTAAAAGTATAAATCATTTCAAATTCCTTATATTAAGCAAACCACAATGTGTTTAAAAAAAAATTTATGGATAGCCAGGGGCACACTCCAACACTCAGACATAATTTACCAACGAAGCATTTGTGTTTTTGAGTCTGCCAGATCAGAGGCAGTAGGGATGACCAGGGATGTTCTCTTGATAAGTGTGTGAATTGGGACCATTTTCCTGTCCTGCTAAGCATTCAAAATGTAATAAGTACTTTTGGGTGTCAGGGAAAATGTATGGAGTAAAAAGTACATTATTTTCTTTAGGAATGTAGTGAAGTAAAAGTTGTGAAAAATATAAATAGTAATGAAACCCCCAAAAAACTACTTAAGTAGCACTTTAAAGTATTTTTATTTAAGTACTTTTCACCACTGCCTACTTCACATATACAGCAGGGCCATACCTGAATCCTCCTCCTGCACTTAGGCCTACTAAGTTGCACTTTTGGTTGTCTTGCTTTAGAAGCACCAGGCCCTCAATCAACTTCCCACATTTCATTTCCATTTTTCAGTGTGTAAATGTACATAGCATTTTGGTTCTTGTCTTGTAACTAAACGTGTGCTGCCACTTTGGTCAGGACTCTCTTGAAAAAGAGATTGTATCTCAACGAGAAAATAAAGGTTAAATAAATATATCCCATGTTTTAATGGACTGCTTTACTCAATTTGAATACAGATCAGAGGAAAACAGTGGTGAGAAAGGTCAGGTCAATGCCAAATCCATTTAAACTCCAGTCAAAATGAATTCAAGTGTGATTCAGGAGGAAAAGGCCACTTTACAGCATTTAGATATGGTCCAGCCCTTCAATGGGACCTCCCAGTGTCCAAGGTTCCTATGCAATAATATGCGTAATTTACAATGTCATTTTGAGTGTTTGTTTAAGAAACACCAACATCGAAGAGCTGTGCCTAAACACAAAAGGAGTCGTAGCTTGATGCTAACTTTAAAAATAAGTGCACGCAACTCAAGGATTGTAAACACATTCCAAACATTGCACACACTCCTGCATATAATTCCACCGTTCTCAACAAAGCAGTGCAAATTACAGAAAAAATAACATTCAAATCTTGTCTCACTTAATCTGTGATTGCATAACGTGATTCAGTAGAGGAATGTAACCAGTGTAGTACAGTACATGTTTTCATGGAACAAACAACAAACAAAACAATAACCAAAACAAAAACGCTCGTCAACCTTCTGATATCACGTCACAAATCTGGATTGTTTCACAGTTCCCATTCATTACTTGGTCACAGGATGAGGAGGTAAACAGTTGCTAATTCAACCTTTAAGCAATCTTCTGAGTACCTATCTACTGGGGACTAAGCCTATGATAACTAATAGAATTCTGTTCCCTACATGCTCAGTGCACACTGAAGAGGGCCAGAGTGCACCACGCCTAGCAGGGTTCGGGTGTAGTGCATTATGAAGGGGCCTCATCACCCTGGACACCAGATTGTGTCGAAGTCCTACCGTACCCCAGAGACACATTTATGAATGTCTATGTGTCCACATCACCAATATTTTCTCAAGGGACCATGACTCCATGTTAATGCAACTCTAGGCACATGTGAGAAACATCAATCTCGTTCCCCTGGATAGACAGCATGGCGATCTTAACCATCACCAGCCAGCAACGCTAGCTTTGAAGGGTGTTAGGGTTGAACCCTGTAGCCACCATATCAATAATGAATAAAACGGGCTTGGAACCTCTAACCCTGGCAATTTGACTGGTAAACTCATGGGTACAATAACAATGGCTGCCTGGTATTGTGATGCAATAATTTCTATGTTAATGTAGAATGTTAATTCAAATGATGCTAACTGATGTAGCTCATGCAATGGAATTTATTTTTTGTGATGTCAGTTGAGTTGATTCAACAAATCACAGCACAGATTGATGGGTACACTTCCTGCTTTTACTTCCTTCTTTGCTCCGATGGGTACACTCACAATGGCCACCTGACCACCCATTATGCCATCAATGACTTGAATGGGGATGCTATTATTTTCTTTCTATTTCTATGGTAGCAACCTCCTGTAGCCTCTGTGAGGTCAGGAGAGCACAGAGCCAGTGGCAGCGCTGCATTCCTTCAGCTCTTTAGGGAGTATAAAGTCAGGGATCTTGATGTCCGAGTCTTCCACATTGATGACGAGACCCCTGGCTTTACTCTGGGCCTGGGTCTGGTTCCAGCGCTGCATCTTCCTACAGTAGTCATCTGGGTTGAACTGGTCCATCAGAGCAGCCTTCAGTGTGTCAGAGGGGGAGATGCTGTTGCGCAATGCATGGAACAGGAATCTGAAAGAGTGACAGTGAGGAAGGGAAGGTAGAAAAGGTTTAAAAAACGATTTTTCTTAATGATGTGGGTCTCCAATCGAGCTGTGATTCTGTCTGAAAAAGGTTGGCACTACTGTGTGTGTATACCTTGGTAGCAGTGCCAGCACGGTGGTGAGGGCACACACTCCGTAGAAGAGTGGTTGGGACATCTGTAGCTTGTCCACACCAAGAGGATTGGTGGGGGGGCTACACGTCACACACACCACACTGAAGACCAGGGTGAAAGAGAAGTAGAAGAGAGCACTACCCACCAGCACTAACGCATGTAGCCATGTCTGTAACACAGGAACATAGCACAGATCAACATAGGAATAGAAACAGAAATAAATAGAGTACATAACATGGAACAGGAACATTTGGACACGATCCCGGGTCCACTTATTCCCAACTTGAACCCATGAGTTGCCCCCTTCAAAATGTGAAGGCTTTGAGACCTAGTCAAAAGTGCTAAATAAATGCATTATCATTATCAACCTATGGGTGTGTCAGGTAAGGTGTGTCTCACCAGTGTGTGGCTCTCGATGACCTGGTGTAGTAGGATGATGAGGAGGGCAGAGGCATTGATGGGAGACCCAAAGGAGAGCATGTCTGCATCTGACCCTGCATATGCCTGACCAAAAATAAAGACCAAAACAAAGTTAATTATCCATTAGGAAATCCTGTTATGCTTTTAAAAAGGCAGAGTATGGCATGATGCCCTATTCAACCGAAACGACTCCCAGACTACAGAGAACAACACCACCTCACTGACCCATTCTCAGGGTATAGGATTACACAATGTAGACACAGAACACATTAAATCAATGGCAATAGCACTACTTGTGCAAATCTAGTGTAAATCTACTCACAAGGTAAGGAACAAAGAAACAGACAAGGCTTTGGTAAAGAGCGTCCAGCATCGTCAGCCAGAAGGTAGAAGGGAGGTAGGCCTGGAGAGATACATCAATAAAACATATCAATGAGTGTGTGTTAGTGCTGGGCTAGAACAAAAATTTACCCAAGGACCGGAGTTGGAAATCATTGTCCTAATACTCCCAGATTCCGCCTTCACACACCTTGGAATACTGTCCGGATTTGTAGAGCTCTGGTAACTTAATGAGGGTGTCTGCAGACACGTCTTTGTCCAGGATCCCGTAGAGAAGGGGAGGGGCGGAGGTGAAGAGGAGGTTGAAGAAGATGAGCACCCAGGAGTTGGTCATGACGCTCCCCGAGAAACCACAGAAGAACTGGTACCAGAACAGCAGATTCACATACATCTACACACACAGGAAGAGAGACGGACGGAGGGAGGGAGAGAAAATAAAGACAGAGATAGTGAGTGTGCATGTGCCTGGGGTGAATGAGAGACGTTCTTACCACATTCTTGTAGAAGAAGTAGAGAATCATGTTGGCCAGGCGTGTGTAGCACCAGTGGCCATGGACCAACAGCAGCTTGCTGAGGTGTTTAAACCTGGATATGGCAAAGTCACTGGACATCACAGCCTGCATGCCCTCCTGGCCAGATATCCCAATGCCAACATCTGCCACCTGGATCATACTGACATCATTGGCTCCATCACCTGGACAAAAAAGGACGCCCCAGACTTAAGAAATCTAGATTGGAAACACTAAGACAGGGCTATTCCTACTTATAATGCCTTATAAATGCTCATAAATGTTTATATATCCTGGACTACTCATTTAAGTGTTACCGACTTCCACTGACCTATGGCGAGGGTCATGACTCGGAGCTGGTCCCGTACCAGCTGTACCACCTGGCTCTTCTGAAGTGGGGTGGAGCGGCAGCAGATCACGGCCCTGCAGCGCCGGCTCAGTTCCAGGAAGTCCCCTTTCAGGTCCTCCTGCAGGGCGAAGTCCAGCGTGCGCCCATCCACCACCAGGGTGAAGCCCGACGTGCCCTCAGCTGCCTCCCCACTCTCCACCTCCGCCCGCAGCTCTAACAACATGGCCTTGCACGCCTCCTGAAGAGAGAGACACCAGACAGGATGAGGAAGATTGACAGCAGGATGACAGGAACGCATTTTGAAGGAGGACAAATAATTTAGAATAACAGGATAACATTCACCTTGCTACCACAGTTAGCAGTCAGCAGTTGGTCTGTGGACCTGAGTAGTTTGCAGGCACAGGCGATATTTATGGCAGTCTCTTGTTTGTCCCCTGTCAGGACCCATACTTTGACCCCTGCTCTCTGTAGTGCCTCAATGGTCTCTGGCACCTCTTCCTGGAGTCTGTCCACGATCCCTGTTGCCCCTGGCAACAGAAACAGTAACACTACAGTCAGCCATTGCAGTTGGTTGTTGCTAGCCCCTGACCAAGTTTAGGGCTGACCTCATTTAGACGACTGGTCGATTGTTTGGTCGATAGGCTGTTGGTTGTCCGAGATTTCATTAGTCGAGCAGTAGCAATATATATATATATATATATATATATATATATATATATATATATATATATATATATATATATATATATATATATATATATATATATATATATATATATAAAATGGTGTACAAGACACCTGTCTGATTCATGCATGTCTGAGTGGACTGATCCATTGTGGCGGCCGTGGGGATGGCACGGTCCATCAGTCTAAGACGTGCTACTGAAATTGTCTATGATTATATTACATAAGAACAATGGTGCAACACTAATACAAATATTATTTTATAACAAATGTGCTTTCTCCGGCGTTGGATAGTGATCGCTGTCTGCGGTTCAGAAACACATCAGTGCGCTGTTGAATTGGCGCCTTTTCCTAGACCATATTGCTATGTGCATAATTACAAAGTTAACCGGCATATTGGTGTTGAGAACAATGCGGCAGAGGCAGCAGCAGAATGAGGAGATGAGAAAACAGCCCTCGCCTTATTGTCTAAGTGAGGAGAGAGGAAACCTCAACTTAATTAGGTCTATAATCAATAGCCTAACAGTTAAATGTGCCTGGCTTTATAAATCATCAATATATCTACAGAAATAAGACAGATCCTGTGTCTGTTGCCTGTTTGAGTGTTTGTTTAATAGCCTACTGATTCTGTGAGCACCAAGCTCCATGCAACAACATGTCAAGTAAACAATTTCACAAATTCAGCTGTTTTTAATATTTACTTTGCTGTAATAAAGGCTTCACACTTTCTTTTCATTAGAACAGCCTCTGATATTATTCATAATTTATTTAGTGCTCTTTACGCTGTTCCAAATTGTCAGAAAAATAATATTTATAATAATAATAACGCTCCTTTTTCTTGATCTCCTTCTTATTGTTATTATTACTATTATGATCATAAGTAATGTCATTATCATTAGTAGGCTTAGTATAGCAGCCTTGTATAACCACCATTTGTATTTATTTATTTTATTTATTTAACCAGGTAAGCCAGTTGAGAACAAGTTCTCATTTACAACTGCGACCTGGCCAAGATAAAGCAAAGCAGTGCGATAAAAACAACAACAACACAGAGTTACATATGGAATAAACAAAACGTACAGTCAATAACACAATAGAAAATCTATCTACAGTGTGTGCAAATGTAGTAAGTTATGGAGGTAAGGCAAGAAATAGGCCATAGTGCAAAATAATTACAATTTAGTATTAACATTGAGCTGTAGGCCCAAGAGCGCATCCTGTTTAGTCTTAATATCATAACTAACTTAGGCCTATATTTCAATACTTATATAGGGTACTGCATCAATCAATCATTCATTTGTTCATGTCATCACACAGCATACCAGTCATTTTAAATGCAATCAAGCATTTTAGTTTAAAAATAAAATAAAGCGAGCCTTGAAGAATTGGCTTAAACAATAAATAAACCGTTCCATTACGGAAACTGCATTCATGAATGAATGTGACTGTTTTTAGTCTTTGCTGTAATAAAGGCTTAGCAAAAAAACTTTACAACAGACTCTCTGGTACGCTTATCATTTATTTAGTGTTTACATTGTTCTAAACGGTCAGAAAAATTATATTTTAATCTATACAGCACCTGTTTGGCAAACATAATATGCACGCAGCGCTTGCTCCTCACCTTCTTTTTCTTGATCTCCAGTAAATTTATTCCACACATCTTACTTTCCCTTTACCTCCTGAGCAACCAGTAAACATTCCCCCGTTTCGAGTTTATTTGTCACGTCCTCTGCATCCATTTTGCTGTCACATGTGTTATGGTGTTCAGAGTTAGTTATAACCAATTTATTGATGTGATTATGATATGCTATAGGTCAGGCCCTATTGTGCCCTATTTGGACGGGATTAGGTTTACTGGGGGAGGTCGGGTAATGTAATTCCGTGCACGAGCACAAAACACCACATCTGTCATTTTTGTCCCGTACGAATCTGCCATGTCAGTAACTTTTACATGGCAGGAGAGTAAATCCCAGACAGAATACCTACTGTTTTTTGGCAAACTCCAAGGTCCTCTGATAATTTGTAGCGGTGCATGGGTAAAATCACTGGGGAGGCCAAGCCCCAGTTAATTAATATGCCTTGCGATCGTGATATACAGGCCTAAAGGCCGAGACAATAAGAAGATGCAGTGGCAGAATCAATTCAACCACACCTTTGTTTTATCACAAAACCGGATAGCAACCTCTGTCCAGTGAAGTCCACAAAGCATATTTCATGTAACAGACAGTTAAATGACCTACAGCAGGGTTCGTCAGCTAGGTTTGGCCTCGGGCCAATTTTTTTCTGAACTAATAGTCGGCGGCCATTACACATTTAGCTTATAACATTAGCACAATCAATAGGCCTACACTACAAATTGAACAACATTTTTAACACATCTGATTAGTACACATTAATTCAGTGACAATAACATAATAATTTCGATCTGATTACGCTCATAAAATCACCAAAGTCTCTATTCAATTATTATATTTATTTTTCTCTGTGTGTTGATTGGTGGGGAAAAACAGATCTACGTAGCAAGAGAATATGTTGCTCTCAAAAAGTATCAAAAGACAAGGTGAAAATCTAAGTTTCAGGGAAGAATGGACTGAGAGATGTGTTCATCTTACCATATTTCCCAATGCCAAGCCAGTGTGTCTTATTTGCAATTAAAATGTTTACAAATAATTAAATCTGACTTCATTATGAATTTAAGTATGGCACTTTCAAAGTGCCATTCCCGCCCCAGACAGAGGCCCGACGCAGAAAAATTGAAGCGTTAACTGCAAGCTACACACGCGGCTTTTTTGGCTGACATTCTTTTCACTTAAACGGGTTAAATCTGCAGTTACAAGGAAGAGGGAAAACAGTTGTGGACATGGTGGAAAAACTTGAGGCCTTTACTAGGAAGCTTGAGTAGTTCGATTTGGACTTGTCGTCTGGAAGGCTACTGCACTTCAGCACACTGAAGAAACGACAGGCAGAGGGACCAGGCCGCAGCATTGTCACAGAGGTGATGGAAGATTTCTTCAAGCAGCTGAGGGACAACTTCTCCACCAGATTTGAAGACTACAGCATGCCTGCTCAAGGATATCATTGCGTTTGTACGTGACCCTCTCCCAGTCCGCCCAGGTGGAGAATTCTCCTCCCTTGCTAAGAAAACAATACCCTCGCTGCATGAGGCCACAATTCAAACTGAGCTGATTGAAGTCCAGACATCGAGCCAAATCAGGGATGCGCTCAGGAGTGCCGAGTCCTTGTGTGTTTTGGGTGGCATGCTCAGAGGAATACAACACAATAAAGAAACTTGCATTTTATGTGCTAGCAATGTTTGGATCAACTTACACCTGCGAGTTCTCCTTTTCCTCTATGAATGCAATATATAGACTCACGACAGGAACCGGCTTTCACATAAGTCAATCGAGGACTGCCTGCGCAGCAAAATCACATCCATCTCACCCGACATCCACAAGATCGTGTTCGAGGGGAAATGCAACTTTTCCCATTGAGTAAGTAACTTAGTGGCCTATATGACTGTATTTAGTAAATACTAACATTATTGTGAGTGCTTATCCAGGGATATTTAGATCTCAAGCTGACAGTATTTTGTGTTTGTTCTGTCGTTACAGGAGCAGGCTATCCCGAGACTCCCGATACAGACACCGCTTTTTTTTTCTTTAAATTATTGTTTTATGTAGGATGCAACAGTTTTGTCCAGTTGCAATTGTAAGTAGGCCTTATACAAATAAATCCCACTTCTATTAGGCCATATCTTTTGTTCTTGTGAAAGATGCTGTTAAGCCTCATAGCCTACCTCAGCCAGTTAAGTTATTTTATATAGGCCTTGGCTCGGAAGAAATAGACTCCAATTAAGCCCTCTTGTTGTTTGTAAAGTCAAATTAAAATGAAGATTATTGTTGAAATGAATTACTTGACTGGTGTAGTCTTTCTGCATCTGTTGCTGTGCGCCACTTGCATAACAAGTTAGCTATATTTTCAGCACCAGGTGTATGGGGGCCAAATAATACAGATTTGGCTTGCAGGCTGCCAGTTGGGGAACCCTGACATAGGATGTGTCAATATATGGAAAAATGCATGTTTTACATTTTCTACCAATCCATTGGTCGAAAGAACATATTACTCTTGGTCGACCAATATTTTCTTTTAGTCGGGGACAGCCCTAACCAAGTTGCTCCTTGAATTCACCAACCCAGTTTATAAACAAGTGTAGGAGCAACACTTTTGACTATGAAAGTTCCAGGCTGTGCCTTTAATTGATTGGGACCCTATGACTAATACTTTAGCAAGAAATAAAATAAATCCTCCTTATTCTCCTAATGGTGTAAGAAAACATGTCTGTGGAGTGTGGCGTTTTACCCAGTAGAGTGAGGTTGGTCTCCAGTCTCTGTGCAGACTCCAGTAGAAGCTCCTCTCTGTTCTCTATACTGGTCTCTGCAAACGCCTGACGCTTCAACCAAACCTCATACTCCTCCTCCTCCAACACCTGTTAGCACAATGCACAAGTAAGTCACCAGTCTGTGAAAAATAATTTATTCAACTGAGGACAATCAACTATTCTAAACTATTAAGTATTTTTCCATAGACACAAATGTGAATTAATGTGATATTTAAGGTCAAAGCAAAAAAGTGTAACCACTGTAGATGTCTGTACCTTCTTAGCGATGCAGAGGGTGCGAAGGCCTTCCCTGGCGTAGTTGTCTAGGTGTTTCTGGGTTTGTTCTCTGATGTGACCCTGTCTCCCGTCTGACTGCTCAGCACCTTTAGGTGACTCTGCCAGGTCCATGATGACCGAGTCTGCTCCCTTGGTGTAGACCACCACCTGGTTGGTGAGTGGGTGGCGGACCACCACAGACATCCTCTTGCGGGTGGAGTCGAAGGGCAGGATGTGGAGCAGGCGCACGGCCATGCTGCCCATCCCTGGCAGCTCCACCAGAAGGCGCTCCAGCGAGCGTCCCTGCAGGGTGCAGCGGTAGGCCCTGGCCATGTGGACCAGAGCAGCCTCATCAGGGCTCTCCGCCTCATAGATCAGTTCGTCTGCCCTAGGTTCACCGGGAGGGCCTTGGGCTCCGTTAGAGTTCTCTAGCCCACTCCAGGCCCCCGGGTTGAGGTGTAACATCTTGTCCTCTTCGCCTTTCCAAGAGCCATGCTCTCCCTCCTCCTCATACCCTTGGTCCCCATCCTCTCCAGGGGCCCCATCCAACCCTGGTTTGATACTCAGGATAGAGGCCTCAAGGTTAGGCTCCCCATCTGGCTCTGTACCCCGCTTGGTTGGGGTAGGGGAGGGGCTGGGGGTGAAGGAGGCTGCCTTGCCCCTGGCAAAGAGCCTGCGTGTGAAGCTGCGAGGGCTCTTCGTAGTGTGGGGAGGAGAGAGTGTGGAGAAGCGGGGGAGGCCGAAACGCTGGAACAGCATCTTGATGTCCTCCAGGGATTTAAGGGGGGTACAGGAGACCTCAGGCACCTGGACCTGAGAATGCAATTGACAACATCAGTTTAAATGGAATTGGCACTAATCCTGGTCAAACATATACATTTTTGTTACATTTAGCATGTTCTTTTCCCCTTTGAGGACTACACATGGACATTTTTTGGAATTAAAACATTGCAAACACAGGGTTGGTACAGACAATGGCAAGTCAAATTCAAGGACTTTTTCAAGCACTAATATTTATTTTCAAGGACCATCAATTTGTAATAGTTCCTATTATGCAATTGTTTATAGTTGCCACCAGATGGCAGTATATCACCACAACCTCATGAAAAAAATAACTAACTTACTATATGCATCACTACCTTACAAGTTCTACTCAATAATATGTGTTTTACTACTTCCTAAGTCAGGACTGATGACGTTGTAATTTGAGTAGTGATGAGCAGATCTTTGGGACATGCCTACTGGTGAACACATTTCCTATTTGCATTATTACACAATTCCAGCTTAATGACTGTATTGTATTTTTATTGGGCATTTGGGAATCTACTACTTAATAGTTACAAAAAAGCATCTTGCTTCTGACTGGCAGCTTTAATGTCGCCGGTCAGGAGAAGGGCGGGTGGGCTGTGTGAGGGTGGATGGGCTGTGTGAGGGCGGGTGGGCTGTGTGAGGGCGGGTGGGCTGTGTGAGGGCGGGTGGGCTGTGTGAGGGCGGGTGGGCTGTGTGAGGAAAGCGGCATGTGAACGGCCACCAGAACAGCAGAAGCACGGCTGCCACTTGATAAAGCGGAATATCGCGAGCACCCCTTGAATGAGGCTACAAAGCTCTGGAGAGAAAAGGTCACAATGTAGAACTGGCGCCAGAGCAGGATGCAGCGTTTTGTCTTTCCCCCTTCAGGGCTGATTCACCCATGCTCTCAATGTCAAAGTCTGACACATGTTTTGCACCTTACACAGTGTGGGTTGGTTGGGTCCAGTGATGTAGTGGTAAAAAAAAAAAGGTTGATAAACTATACTGAAAAGTATAAAACGCAACATGTTAAGTAAAAGATCCCAGACATTTTCCGTACGCACAAAAGGCAGTATTGCATCTACATTTGCCCGGCATTTTAGCTATCGATGTGACGTTTGGTAGCGCCTAATCAGTCAGTTCTGTACCTGCCTGGCTGAGTGGCAACCAGAGTGCAAAACACGTGAGGAAATAAAACTCGGTAGTCTGCCTGGAAATGTATTCATAAGACCTATACATTTTTAAAATATTTTTCATATTAACATATTTGATCATTTTCTCTTCTATCATTTTAATTCAAGTATTTTTCAAGTACCAATTGAGAAAATGTCTGATTTTCAAGGTATTGCAGTACTTGAATTTCAGAGTGCCAAATTCAAGTACTTTAAGCACCTTAAGCACCTTGTGCGAACCCTGCAAACATCTACCTCCTTCTTTTATTAGGTTGAGGCTATCTTACGTACCACATGGCGGGGCTGGTTGGGTGAGGACACCACCACCGTGTTGCAGATGGCCAGAGCCATGAAGAAGTCAACAATGTAGGTGAGCTCCATACTGGCGTCCCTCAGAAGGAAGAGCGGGGAGGACAGACAGTTCAGCTTCTGCACCAGGAGAGGGTCCGGGACTACATCCTTCTCCTAGAGGGAAGACAGGAAGATAGGAATTAGACATTTCATATCATGCTGTCAGTTGTGTGTGATTCAACTAATCAACTAATCACCAAGTCTTTGATTAGCTGAATCAGGTATCTTAGTGCTTGGCTAGAACAAAAACGTGCATCTTCTGAGGGGTCTCATTGCGAATGGATTAAGAAACACTGGGTGTATGAATCTCACCATGGGGCTGCTGAAGGCGCTGTGTCGGGGCAGTATGGGGCTGGGGGACTCTTCTCCCTCCCCCTCAGAGTGGCCTGTCAGTGTGTGCAGGGACACAGAGCTGCGGTTGCAGCTGAGTGACTTGCAGCTCAGGGACTTGGCGCTGGCACGTGACTTGAGCGTGTGGGAGCGACCCTTCGCCTCATCCTCCTCCTGCTCGTACACTTCAAGCCTCCGCGCTGCCAGAAAGATAGACAGGGAGGGATGAAAGACATTTTTAAATAAATTGTACAAAATCCTTAGTGTCAGGGTATCATAGGAGGCAGGTAGCCTAGCGGTTAGAGCCAATCTCCGAGGGGGTTTCAGGACAAATATAAGCACCCACCCAAAGTATTATTCTTTTCAAACATTCACAATACTATATCACTCATGAGTAGGGTTGCAAAGCTACCGTTAATTTACAGAAGTTACCGGAATCTTCAGTAATTTTGGTAATTAACAGAAACTCTATGGCAATTTATCGTAACTTTGGTATATATATATATATATATATATATATATATATATATATATATATATATACACACACTATTCATTTATTATATCTGTGTCCATATTGTCCATGAGTTTCTATTAAATAGACCATATGGTTCAAGAGAAAATAGCCTAATTAATGAAAAATCATCTAATCAATCAAGTTTGTAAAATAAATATAAAGGAATGCCATGCTGAAACCCTCATATTAAACACCAATGGTATTCACTAAGTTAATGGTATATATTTAGCAATGTTTTACAGCTTTCTCATATTTTATTTCAAAATATATATATTAAAAAATCATATATTTTAGAGGGCCAGAGATGATTACAGACACCTGTGATAAGCTGAAGTACCCAAAAGGGCCACTAGATGTCTAAAATCCTTGAAAGATACCAAGATTCTGGTAGTTAACCGGTAAACTTTGAAATGTTCCAGTAATATACCCTCCCTTTGCAACCCTACTCATGAGTGCCCCTTGTGGAAAACGTTGTGTTGTGTAAAAAAATGTACTTTGACTTCTCACCATTTTCCTCGTGGGGGTACTCCACCCCAGCAATGGTGCAGCGCCGGAACACCATCTTGTTCTCCGTCAGCGTGCCAGTCTTGTCTGAGAACACATACTGAATCTGACCCAGGTCCTCTGTGATGTTCAGGGCCCGACACTGGATCCTGGAGTCCAGGTACTCATTATAGAAGTCTATGTCGTTCTGGATGAAGAAGATTTGACCCAGTTTGACGATCTCGATGGACACATACAGGGAGATAGGGATGAGCACCTGCCGAGGAGAGAATGGAAGATAATTTAGCATCATGAATTTTGCATATTAACACAAGGTTTTAAGACATTTAGTGCGCTACCTACCTGTAAAACTATGATCATGGTCCAGAACAGGTAGAAGCCAGACAGGGCAGGAGACGTGGTGTCAGGGATCAGAAAGGAAGCTTCCTTCTGGTTCCTGAGCCAGAGACCATGGCCTGCGGAACACAAAGAATGATACGAACGTGGTCAAAATACTTGTTTACAGCAACGCTATAGCTGTGGTAAAACAGCAAAGACCAAGAACTGTGTGGTAGGACATGATAAGCAGTGTGTTCATATTGATTTGGTCAGCAACCACATACAGCTGTGGTCAGTTAAATTGAGCAGCGATACAGACCTACTGTATAGCTGCGGTCAGACACATGTTTTCATATAGATGTGGTCAGTTATATTGATCAGAACGGACCTATAGCCGCGGTCAGACACATGATGACCAGCAGGACAACGCTCCACAGCACGTCCACATTCAGCCTGCGCTCCAGTTTACTGCGTTTATACCTCGGTCCACTGTTGTTCTTCATGGCTTTGGTCTCGTGACCTGCGTTCAAGATCACACAACACAACCATGGCTATATACATGTAAATGTACATGTATGTGTGCTTTTACAGCAGACCTGGGTCAAAATTCCCTATTTGTTTGTGGGTGACGAATAAACATGCAGAGGTGGTAGTACCCTTACGGCATAACTCTACATACAATTCTACAACAACAACAGAGAAATTCTTTACAATAAAATTGCATAGGCATTGAAATGCAGTGCACAAGACGTCAGAGGTTGATTCTACACTGTATCACAATAGCCTTCATTTTTGCTTCTGGAAATGAAGGAAAAAGAGATGAATGTCATATATAGAAAGCCATTGATGGTACCAGAGCTGATGTAACTCTATACCTGTGTGGATTTTGTAGTAAAATAATAATGGAAGCAGAAACCTTGTGCCTGAGCAGACAGACTGGTTTAGCCTGCAGGGTTGTAGTCAGACCTGCCTGACTGTGTCTAGTGGGGACAAGGCATAAAGGAGCTGGAGGCAGGCCACACTCCTAGCAGTCAACTGATATAGACTATGGGGGCAGGACAATGTGGTAGTTCTCTCAACAGCCATTCCATAAAGGCGGCATTATATAGGCTTTATGACAGAAGATTCAGGTTGAGTGTTATTGAGCACACTAGAGGCAGATTCATCTCTAACCAGCATAGTCTGTTACCAGAGGTCCCAGAGTGGTGTGGCGTAAAAACAATTCTGGGGCCCGTAGTTTTTCCTGATCTGGTAACCTAACCAGATAAAACTCTGGACCTTATACGGTATAAAAATATTTAATATGGGCTATGATGGGACCAGAGTTTTTCTAATCACATCACATGGTTTTAAAAAACTCCTGGAAAAACTCCTGGCCTTGGGGAGGATGAAAACCCTGTAAAACTGCAGAAACCATGAATTATATTTTAAAGAAGTACTAGGGGTTTTCCTCTACACAGACACACAGAAAGCAACATGATTGGACAATAAAGCTCACAGGGCTGAGCATGCTTTATGCAGGTTTGCATCATCTAGTCTTGCCCTATGCAACTGTAGGCCTAATTCAAAATGAACTCACAGTCTATGTCAGCTATTGTGTTTATTGATTCATTCTAGTTAATAATTTTGGATTAGATAGGTAGCCTGGTCAGCAAAAGTTTCAATATAAACCACATTTGATCCCATTCACATTTTCTGACAAAGAAATGGGCTATAAATACACAAAGTTACCGCTTCGTTTAGCCTGGCCAGAGAGACAGGGTGCATAGTAGGCTAGACTATGCAGCTGTTGTTGTTAGTAGCCTACAGTTGATCAGACTGACAAATAGTATAGTTTCCATGCAATACCGCATGTCAGATCACTAATGTTTTGGTGTATAGGCTGCTAACTTTATGTACGAGTTTTTGTTTGTGTCTGTCAGGAAATATGTGTTATCACGCTTGCTAAATAAATACCGGAGTATAGTTGTGAGCGCACTTTGTGCGTTGTACCCAGCACGCAAGAGCTGTGATTTCAGTGAATCCGATTGGTCAAGACACGCAAAGAGCCTGAAGTAGCACTCCGATATGAAGGACAACATTTTTGCAAGAGTTGACAAATCATGAGGCAAATTGGTCTAAAAACAGCACTTGATATATTTTATTAAACTAAACCAAAAGTGCTAAATTGCCATAGTCCTGCTGGTTGCCCAGGTAATAACTTGAAATATGAGGAAAACCAGCTGTGGACACCCGGTTGGATAATGGGATACACCAAACCCCAGCATGAGCTAGACCTGGGGAAAGAGGATTATTTCACCCTCTTACCTGCATAGACCACGATGCCTATGACGGTCTCTGTGTTGCGGATGGTGCAGCTTCTCAGGAGGAGGTTGTTGTTGTGTAAGCCCACACGAGCCTTACTGGGGTACTCCCTGTAGGAAACAAATATGTAAGTTACCTTGCCTTTCAAAAGTTCATAACATTAAGTCTGTCTCCATACAGTGTCTGTAGTGAATAAAACCAGACTCACATGTAACCTCGGAACCGGCTGAGGTCGTTGTTGGGGTTCTCACATTCAATGTAGCTGTGGAAGTTCTCTGGAGTCAACTCAGAACCCTGAAACAGATGACATACACACTAAATATTTCTGTAGTCATTTTCCCACTAGACCCAAGGATAATATTTGACCTAATCCCTATTGATGTTCTTCTTACTTACACCATACCTTTATAGGATGTGTACAGGTTTTTACATGGATATACAGTACAGTTGCGTAATGCAGGTAAATTACAGCCTCGTGTCATGTTTTATCAAGCTTTTTATTGATTATTGTACCACTCCACCTTTAGCTGTACAATAAACGGCAGTGTTTTGTTTAGGCAGGGCGAGCTGCCCCGTCTCTTGCACGCTTGCTTTAAGACTTAAGCCTCAAGTATTTCAAACATGACAATTAATGATAACAGCATGTTGAAACCAATCAGAGCCACATACCTGTTGTGGCAGGTCTCTGACAACTTGTCTCTGTTTGAGGTTGGTCTCCCCGTCCAGGTTGGCCGTCTCGATGTAGCAGACACCGTGGGGGTCAGAGGAGTACAGCAGCAGCATGTCTGCAGGGATGATCTCATTACAGGACAGACGGACAAAGTCCCCCACATGGACATCCTGCCAACACTGGTCCACATACATCTGCTGTTTCCTATGGTAAAAAAGACCACAAGATAACCTGTTAACTGCTTGAGGGCAATGAGAGTGGGACCATGTGTGTACTATCAAATATAACGAAAGCCTGAAGACCCTCTGTGGTTATGGTTAAAACGTTGCTAACAATACCACAAATGACAACTAAATAACAGTTTCACACATACGAACAGTATTCACACAAGCAAAGGAACATGTCTCTCTAAACAACCATTGAACGTTCCTAAACACAGACATGGTAACATATTTTACACATTGTAAATACTCCAGAAAACACCATTAACCCTGCACTTTCTCTGTCTACATTTCGGTCAGTGACCTGTGTTTGGGTACACAGCAACATGCACAAGATGGAACCATGCCAACTGTAAGGTAGGGTGGGTGTTAAGAAACAAGTCTTCAAATCAATCAGAGGGCGTGAGTGTAAGGCTTCTCAAACACACAATGTTCAGCCAAGGCAGCTATGAGCCACAGTGTGTGAATACACCTCAAGGTTAATCATTTATCTTACTGTCCACCACCATCCTTTCCTGGCAGGAACTGGGAACTGAGAAACAAATTACTGTAATACTGTGGTTTGTTATTCACCCAATATAAAATATATGTTAAAGATAGTCAGTTGGTGTGGATAGGCCCTAGGGCAGGGGTCGGCAACAGGCGGCCTGTGGGCCAAAATCGGGCCGCAAGTGATTTTCTTTGGCCCCTAAAGTACTTAGTTTTTGGTCAAAAAAGACTAAAATCACCAGGAATTCAGCTAAAAATGAGAAGTTTAATTTAGAAAATCTATTCCCAAGTATTCCCACAAATACAAAAAGAGACGTGATTGTGTATCAATGTAATCAAGGTACGAAATTATTATTTTCAAATACAACCTCTTTTTGGGCTTAGTTGTGCTCAATTTGCAGTGTACAAATGATTATAATGATGTACCATCCGCTCCAACACAAATCGTCCCGCGGCAGAATCTAGTTGCCTACCCCTGCCCTAGGGATTGTCTGGCCTCATTAAGCTATGAACAATGTAGACCTGGGAGGAAGAACCAACAGGCTACCTCCACCTCTCACTCCTAGACTCTGGAAAAGGGGATAGATTTAAGCAACCCCATCCTGAGCAAAATAGATTATGATAAAGAAACTTCAACAAGTGAGGACATAGCCATTGAACAATGAATGTCTCTTGTCAAGGCATTGTGCAGAGAGATATGAGAGGAATTGAGTGAGATGTGTGTGTGTCCATCTCTAACATGGCACAACAATGTTTTAAAACCACAGATCGTATCATTTAACCCCTTGTAATTAGAGATTATGTCAACTTGTCCTACTTTCAGTTCAGCATATACAGTGCATTCGGAAAGAATTCAGACCCCTTGACTTTTTCCAAATGTTGTTATGTTACGGCCTTATTCTAAAATGGATTAAATTGTTTATTTCCCTCATCAATCTACACACAATACCCCATAATGACAAAGCAAAAACACGTTTTACATAAGTATTCAGAACCTTTACTCAGTACTTTGTTGAAGCACCTTTGACAGCGATTACAGCCTCGAATCTTCTTGGGTATGGCGCTACAAGCTTGGCACACCTGTATTTGGGGAGTTTCTCCAATTCTTCTCTGCAGATCCTTGCAAGCTCTGTCAGGTTGGATGGGGAGTGTTGCTGCACAGCTATTTTCAGGTCTCTCCAGAGATGTTCGATCGGGTTCAAGTCCGGGCTCTGGCTGGGCCACTCAAGGACATTCAGAGACTTGTCCGAAGCCACTCCTGCATTGTCTTGGCTGTGTGCTTAGGGTCGTTGTCCTGTTGGAAGGTGAACCTTCGCCCCAGTCTGAGGTCCTGAGCGCTCTGGAGCAGGTTTTCATCTAGGATCTCTGAACTTTGCTCCGTTCATCTTTCCCTCGATCCTGACTAGTCTCCCAGCCCCTGCCGCTGAAAAACATCCCCACAGCATGATGCTGCCACCACCGTGCTTCACCGTAGGGATGGTGCCAGGTTTCCTCCAAACGTGACGTTTGGCATTCAGGCCAAAGAGTTCTATCTTGGTTTCATCAGACCAGAGAGTCTTGTTTCTCATGGTCTGAGAGTCTTTAGGTGCCTTTTGGCAAACTCCAAGCGGGCTGTCATGTGCCTTTTACTGAGGAGTGGCTTCCGTCTGGCCACTCTACCATAAAGGCATGATTGGTGGAGTGCTGCAGAGATGGTTGTCCTTCTGGAAGGTTCTCCCATCTCCACAGAGGAACTCTGGAGCTCTGTCAGAGTGACCATCGGGTTCTTGGTCACCTCCCTGACCAAGGCCCTTCTCGACCCGATTGCTCAGTTTGCCGGGCGGCCAGCTCTAGGAAGAGTCTTAGTGGTTCCAAACTTATTATATTTAAGAATGATGGAGGCCAGTGTGTTCTTGGGGACCTTCAATGCTGCAGACATTTTTTGGTACCCTTCCCCAGATCTGTGCCTCGACACAATACTGTCTCAGAGCTCTACAGACAATTCCTTTGACCTCATGGCTTGGTTTTTGCTCTGACATGCACTGTCAACTGTGGGACCTTATATAGACAGGTGTGTGCCTTTCTAAATCATGTCCAATCAATTGAATTTACCACAGGTGTACTCCAATCAAGTTGTAGAAACATCTCAAGGATGATCAATGGAAACAGGATGCACCTGAGCTCCACTTCGAGTCTCATAGCAAAGGGTCTGAATACTTATGTAAATAAGGTATTTCAGTTTTTTATTTTTAATACATTTGCAAACAAATTCTAAAAACCTGTTTTCACTTTGTCACTATGGGGTATTGTGTGTCTATATTGATGAGGGAAAAAAATAAATGTATTAATTTTTGAATAAGGCTGTAACGTAACAAAATGTGGAAAAAGTCAAGGGGTCTGAATACTTTCCGAAGGCACTGTCCCTGCTCTAGTTTGCATGCTAGTCAGTTTGATGGCACCATATACAACCCTAGTAAGTATAAAGAAGAAGCTGCAGACCTACAGGTCTGTACGTTTTGTTTACATGTTAAAGTAAACTCAGCAAAAAAAGAAACGTCCTCTCACTGTCAACTGCGTTTATTTTCAGCAAACTTAACATGTGTAAATATTTGTATGAACATAACAAGATTCAACAACTGAGAAATAAAATGTGTCCCTGAACGAAGGGTGGGTCAAAATCAAAAGTAACAGTCAGTATCTGGTGTGGCCACCAGCTGCATTAAGTACTGCAGTGCATCTCCTCCTCATGGACTGCACCAGATTTGCCAGTTCTTGCTGTGAGATGTTTGATTTTACCCCACTCTTCCACCAAGGCACCTGCAAGTTCCCGGACATTTCTGGGGGGAATGGCCCTAGCCCTCACCCTCTGATCCAGGTCCCAGATGTGCTCAATGGGATAGAGATCCGGGCTCTTCGCTGGCCATGACAGAACACTGACATTCCTGTCTTGCAGGAAATCACGCACAGAACGAGCAGTATGGCGAGTGGCATTGTCATGCTGGAGGGTCATATCAGGATGAGCCTGCAGGAAGGGTACCACATGAGGGAGGAGGATGTATTCCCTGTAGCGCACAGCGTTGAGATTGCCTGCAATGACAACAAGCTTAGTCCGATGATGCTGTGACATACCGCCCCAGACCATGACGGACCCTCCACTTCCAAATCGATCCCGCTCCAGAGTACAGGCCTCAGTGTAACGCTCATTCCTTTGACAATAAACGCGAATCCGACAATCACTCCTGGTAAAACAAAACCACGACTCGTCAGTGAAGAGCACTTTTTGCCAGGGATTGAGGGATTATACGTTCCTGGTGTAACTTGGGCAGTTGTTGTTGCCATCCTGTACCTGTCCCGCAGGTGTGATGTTCGGATGTGCCGATCCTGTGCAGGTGTTGTTACACATGGTCTGCCACTGCGAGGACGATCAGCTGTCCGCCCTGTCCGCCCTGTCTCCCTGTAGCGCTGTCTTAGGCGTCTCACAGTACGGACATTGCAATTTATTGCCCTGGCTACATCTGCAGTCCTCATGCCTCCTTGCAGCATGCCTAAGGCACGTTCACACAGATGAGCAGGGACCCTGGGCATCTTTCTTTTGGTGTTTTTCAGAGTCAGTAGAAAGGCCTCTTTAGTGTCCTAAGTTTTCATAACTGTGACCTTAATTGCCTACCGTCTGTAAGCTGTTAGTGTCTTAACGACCGTTCCACAGGTGCATGTTCATTCATTGTTTATGGTTCATTGAACAAGCATGGGAAACAGTGTTTAAACCCTTTACAATGAAGATCTGTGAAGTTATTTGGATTTGTACGTATTATCTTTGAAAGACAGGGTCCTGAAAAAGGGACGTTTCTTTTTTTGCTGAGTTGAGTTGTCACATATAATTACCAGTCAGTTTGTTAACCTGTTATCTCACACTTATCCATGCTTTGTAATAATCCCAGACTAGTATGTTAATATAGCTATCAGAATGTCGACCTGTAAACGGATCTCGTGCTTAAACCAGGACATTTCAAACCATTTTTCAGTCAGTTTACCCCATATAAGCAGTACTAATTCCATTTGAATTCCATTTGCTCCCATTCAGAGATAACAAACAAACCTTTGCTCCACCAAAATCTACACTGAGTGTATTTACCTGCTGTAAACCTCACAGACCAGTCCGTTGATGAACTTGTCCGACTTGTGTCTCCTGTAGTCTTCCCAAAGATCCTTTACTGCCGTCACTGCCAGCACCAGGAGAATGGGAATAATGCTGATTTCCGGCTGGAAGGCATTGACCACTGGAACAAAGTTCAGAGCTGCCAGGAATATGAAATAGATATTGGCAAAGCGGTGGAGTTGTTCGAACAGGTTCTTGGGGATAAAAGAGAGGAAGGAGTACTTGGTGGTGGTCACCTTGTTGCTGCTGTATGACTTGAGGACTTCTGTCAGCTCTTCATCCACTGTGAGGGAGGATACCACCGTCCTCCTCTTCCTCCCCAGTCGGTCCTTCAGACTGGAACTTTGTCCTCGGACCGGCCGCTCCAAGCTGTACATGACTCCTAAGCCCAGTGAAAGACTCCACCAGTTAAATTCCAGAGGGTTTACTCATTGGTGACCTTGATTCAAATCCAAGCCGACCCTTGTATCGCTCTTCGGCATTTCCAGCCACTCGTGACCGACCGAGCTCTGCCTCTAGATTCACATGCCCACTCTGTTTTACTGTCATCATCTATCATGATCCAGGACATTGAGTTGCCAGGGTGAAGTTTAGATAGAGGAAAATATAGCTACTTTGCAGAGGAGAGCTTAAGTTCTTCCATGGTGTAGAGTTTCTTTACGGCACTACACCTCGCTGCCTTAGAGACCAATAGAGCCACTCCTCCACACTTCTTCATGTCATAAACAAACAACTCAAAGTTGAACTTTTATGACTTCCTATGAATATGGATTGTGAAACCCTGGACAGCACAAAGGAATGGGTAAATGAGCAACCCACTAGATTATCTGTGCTGTACGTATGGTGCTCTTTATACTACATACAGTCACACAGACAACTGAATCTACAATAATCAACATCTAATCCAGTGTAAGGATCACCTGTCCTCAGCTTCAGGCTCTCTCTAGGAAATGTGTTCATGTTTGGTATGCTAATGGTAATACAGAACTGTAGGCTGTATCATGTAAACCCTACAACTCATCCAGAATGCCGCAGCCCGTCTGGTGTTCAACCTTCCCAAGTTCTCTCACGTCACCCCGCTCCTCCGCACACTCCACTGGCTTCCAGTTGAAGCTCGCATCTGTTACAAGACCATGGTGCTTGCCTATGGAGCTGTGAGGGGAACGGCACCTCCGTACCTTCAGGCTCTGATCAGTCCCTACACCCAAACGAGGGCATTGCGTTCATCCACCTCTGGCCTGCTGGCTCCCCTTCCTCTGCGGAAGCATAGTTCCCGCTCAGCCCAGTCAAAACTGTTCGCTGCTCTGGCACCCCAATGGTGGAACAAGCTCCCTCACGACGCCAGGACAGCAGAGTCACTCACCACCTTCCGGAGACATTTGAAACCCCACCTCTTTAAGGAACACCTGGGATAGGATAAAGTAATCCTTCTACCCCCCCCAAAAAAAAAAAAAAAAAAAAAAAATGGTAAAGTGGTTATGACGTAAATGTAAATGTAAATTGCTACTTCACCTTTGATCCTACTGTTACAGGAAGTCCCAGTACGCAATTCATGGGACTTTTTTCCATCCTCTCTCCTCCATTACCCAGAAACCGATAAGTGGTCAAGGAGATGTCAATTTGTTAGCTACCTTTCATTGAGGATAGTCATGTGTATCCTACCCGAGTCCTTCTAAATCTGTCACACCCCCTTTGAATCAGCTTTTGTTTTGTCAGAGGAGAAAAACATGCACACATTCAAAAACATATTGTTTTATCTATAAAATGTGGAGAAAGAGAGTAATTTCATACAAGCACATTTCGTTCATGTTTCCTCTCCTCGCCGCCTCTTCTCGATTACCCTTGACCTTTTTCAAATGGAGGCGAGAGAGGACAGAGAGAGGACGCAGGAGTTGAGCAAATTCAATTGCGAAAAGGCCATGGTGCTTTGGTGCTGATTAACACAGAGGACTGTGGGATATGAAGTTTGTGTTCAAGATGTTTTAAGACCTTCAATTTGAATACTAGCCATCATAAAATCAATACACCCATGTTGTAATGCTGTAATGTATCTGGTAACTAAGAACATTGTATAAGAACAGTGTTACACAAGAGTAATAATTACCATGTCTTATTCCACTTGTGTATTGTGTAATAACAAAAAATGCTAAACTCCATAACTATGTGTGAAATAGTCTGTAACAACACGGTGACTGTTGTTGATCTATTCCCTTATAAACAATAAACCCTGGTCATTACTGTCCAGCCTGCCCACTCACCCGCTGTACACTGTGGCGATGTTGTTGTTGACTTTCTGGTCAAATCGGTAGCGGCGGTAGTCCTCCAGGGCATCCTTGATGGCAATGACAATGAGCACCACTACCAGGGGAATCATGGTGATCTCCTTCTGAAAGGCCTCCACCACTGGGATCCAGTTCAGCATCACCAGGAACAGGAAGTACAGGTTGGCCACCCTGAGGAGGAGGGTCAAAAGGGGTTTGATAAATCCCACATCGACCCCCAGCCCCTAAGGCTACCTGAACCCTTATGGGCGCACTGCAGTCTCCATTTGGCATCTGCTCATTTTGAGTTAATTCACAACGAACCTAATTGCATGATTATAATCAAGTGACTCCTATGCACTCCTGCTCGAGTTGAGTTAATTCCCGACATCGACAAACATGATTGTCTGATTGTAATCAGGTATGGTCTACCCATCCCCTGTGTAAATCAGCATGTGGTTAGGTATCCCACTCACCTGTGGAACTGCTGGAACAGGTTCATGGGAATGAAGCTCAGAAGGCTGTACTTGGTGGTGCGGATGCCGTTGCCCTGGCATCCCTTGGAGATGCTGTGGTACTCATGCTGGTAGGGTCCGTGCCGGGCAATGACCGTCCTCCGTTTGCCAGTGAGCTGCTGTGTGTTGTGGAGAACTGGGGAACTCTTGGTGGGTAGGGCGGCAGGGGCCGAGTACCGGCCTCGACCTGACTCTGTAGCCACCAGCTGCTGCCAGCGGTGTCTCACCCAGTGGATCCGCTCCATAGGCCCAGTGGCCAGGGCACCCTACACCCAGAACCCTGCACCCTCCCTGGGCCTGGGTGGCCAGACCTGGTCCTCTGTTGCCTGAGGGCCGCTTACAGTGCAGTTTTTCTGAAAGAGAAAAATACAAAACAATAATCAGAAAGGTTTCAAAAGTAGTGACCTTATGGAGAAAGAAGTAGGACAGATAGTAGGTAAGAGGGACTTAAGTCCTTGAGATAAGCATTGATTAAGTGGCAGCTATGACTAATTGTTTTGTTTTAGGCAATACTCCCAACACCTTTTTCAGGCCTGTATTTGAAGGGCAATAACTTCTAGTTCAAAATGGACCCTCACCTTGTACTTCGGACACCAAGATATCATTACTTCCACTACTGATAGGAAGGGTCTGAGTATGGAGATGGAAACACCTGCCATGTGCCCTCCTTATCACTAACGTATATCACATGGTCTAAGTCAAAGTAGGGCCAAAGTGAGTTTGTTGTAAAAATGTTTACTACTATGTTGTCTATAGGCTATTTCTGCTACGTTGAAACTTTCTCAGGATCTTTTTTTAGCAGCCTCTTAACTATGTAAAAGTATTTTCACCTGTAATTAATTATCTAAACAGCAGTAAGGTGGGAAAAACTCCTAAATTACGCATGAGGAAATATAAAACTTATGAAGGGGCGTCCCTCACTGGGGAAATGTTTTCAGCTAATCATTTTCTATATTGCATAGAAGAAACGGTGCATTCATCGCTAATTACAACCCTGGACTGTTGACAATTAGGCTAGCTGTACCTACTAATAGAGGCCGCTCATCATGTGTGGAACAACCCTACGCAATCAATTAGGGCCCCCTTCAAACAAGTCTGCAATCATCACTGACATTGATGTATCAGGTTAATAATATAGACTGTTTGTGTTGATTAGAGTACACTTAACTGGCTCCACCACCTGACCTATTTACCATAATACAAACATGTTCTCTTGAAGTCTGGTCTGCACCGAGACTGCCAGTGTGTCTCAATGCTTTGAAAGACTTCCTTTACTTTGTCATAATCATGTTCCTGTCTTCTGAATAGGAGAAGGTAATGTGGTGAAGCACTATTGTATTGCAAGGTAGACTGTAACACTAGCCTAGATTTCACTAAACCCAAGGCTTTCATATCTGTGAGAACTACGGAATAGGAAATCAGGAGGCTTCTAAAATGAGATACCCATAACCCAATGTGACAGAAGTTGTCCCTTCTCCCCATTGCAAATGTCTGATTTTATCAGGCTCGGTGTGCACGAGTCATGAGCCCATCTCAAGAAAACATGGTGGATTAGGCTGAACTCGTGTAGATACAGTATGCTTATTCATTCTCAGGAATGTGGATTTGCCACACGAGACATAGGCTCCTGAAGCTATACTGAACAAAAATAAATGCATGTTTCATGAGCTGGAATAAAAGATCCCAGAAATGTTCCATACACACAAAAAGCAATTTTTTCTTACATTTTGTGCACAAATGTGTTTCTTCTTTGCCAAGATAATCCATCCACCTGACAGGTGTAGCATTTCAATAAGCTGATTAAACAGCATGATCATTACACAGGTGCACCTTGTGCTGGGGACAATAAAAGGTCACTCTAAAATGTGCAACACAATGCGACAGATGTCTAAAGGTTTGAGGGAGGAATGTCCACCAGAGGAATGTCCACTGCAGGAATGTCCACCAGAGCTGTTGGCAGAGAATTGAATGTCCATTTACATTACATATTTACATTTTAGTCATTTAGCAGACGCTCTTATCCAGAGCGACTTACAGTTAGTGAGTGCATACATTTTCATACTGGCCCCCCGTGGGAAACAAACCCACAACCCTGGCGTTGCAAGCGCCATGCTCTACCAACTGAGCTACAGGGGACATTTCTCTACCATAAGTCACCTCCAACGTCATTTTAGAGAATTTGGCAGTACGTTCAACCGGCCTCACAACCGCAGACCAAGTGTAACCACGCCAGCCCAGGATATCCACATCCGGTTTCTTCACCTGCGGGACCATCGGAGACCAGCCACCCAGACAGCTGATGAAACAGGAGTATTTTTGTCTGTAATAAAGCCCTTTTGTGGGGAAAACTCATTCCCAGGCCCACCCATGGCTGCGCCCCTGCCCAGTCATGTGGAATCCATAGATTAGGGCCTAATGAATGTATTTTAATTGAATGATTTCCTTATATGAACTGTAACTACGTAGAATTGTTGAAATTGTTGCATGTTGCGTTTATATTTTTGTTCAGTATACTTATGGTAACCAGTAAATCAACTCTAGTCCTTTGACTTTGTTGACTAAATTAATACTATACTACCAACAAGACATTGGTTGACAGGCTGCTAACCCACAGGTCAGAAAAAGCACAAGTGAAACCGTCAAGATATTACAGCATTGTATGCTAGATATTATCAACACGGAATAATATCCATTTTCTATTTGAATCTTGTTCCGCTATTTGTACACAAAACCTTCCTAATCCTCGAGAAAATAATTGTCATTAAGAGGAACAGAATGCAGTGCCAGAGAACTCTGTTTATGGGCAAGTCCACAATACAGAGTGACACTTTAAAATGTCTGCCAAACAAAAACCAATGATTGCAAAGTTAAACAAACCATACAAATTGTTAAAAGTAGTCCTTGTGCATAGAGTTGTATGGTTTGTCTAACTTTGCAATTATTGTTTTTTTGTTTGACATACATTTTAAAGTGAAAAATAGTTGTTACTGTGGAATTTCCCTTATGCGCCACTCAACTCCGATATCACAACTACTCGAAGGTTACTCACTCACGCCCTTGTGAGATGCCAAAACAGCTAGCAAGATAGGCCAGCATATGCCCTCGGCTGAGTGTGTGCTGTACTAAAGCTCAACAATAGTGTATCTTTCATGCTTTCCTCGATTGCCTAGTTAATGTTTTTTAGGTAGGCTACTTCAGTTCATTATATAGTGTGAACTGTGTAGCCTAGTCCTAGTGCTGGGAGAGGTCTATCATTTATATATTATTGGGCTCCCGAGTGGCGCAGCGGTCTAAGGCACTGCATCTCAGTGCTTGAGGCATATAATATAATAATATAATATGCCATTTAGCAGACGCTTTTATCCAAAGCGACTTACAGTCATGTGTGCATACATTTTTACATATGGGTGGTCCCGGGGATCGAACCCACTACCCTGGCGTTACAAGCGCCATGCTCTACCAATTGAGCTACAGAGGCATCACTACAGACCCCCCTGGTTCGATTCCAGGCTGTATCACAACTGGCCGTGATTGGGAGTCCCATAGGGCGGCGCACAATTGGCCCAGCGTTGTCCGGGTTTGGCCGGTGTAGGCCGTCATTGTAAATAAGAATTTGTTCTTAACTGACTTGCCTAGTTAAATAAAGGTACAACAAAACATAAAAAAAGGTTGGTGCTTTTAAAAGGACTTATAAAGTAGTTTATAAACTACTATAAGTTTACATATAGTTTATAAATCTGTAAAACAACATAGCCTGGACTAGAGGATACAAGCACATTTCCTTTCTATTGATATAGTGACATATTTTCAAAGATAGGCTAATGTGCCTGTCATTTTCTTTACTTTATTTTAAAAAAACATGTACCCCTCCCCCTTTATTCAACTGGCAAATCAAGAACCATACTCTGGCCTACAACTCTCCAGGAACAGGATTTTCTCAAACTGCTGTGTACAGTGAAAGAGAAAGCAAATAGTTTCAAAAACTCCACACAGACAATTTATTCTGCTGTGTAGAATTGTCATATCCTTCACCACAGCGTGCACAATGACAATGTCCACATTTAGGAGAAACTTTATCATTCATGCATGAGGACATGGGCCAGGTGTATTGTTGAGATACAGCCAAGTGTGCCAAAAAGCTAAAATGACAAATGTAGCTAACTAGGCTTAGCTACAAGGGCATAATGCATTTACCGGAAATACAGTAGGCTACAGCGATAGATCACAGATTTTTAGAAAATTCAGTTTGGGTTTGGTATTTTTGTACATTTGTTTTTGCTTTTGCTTTATTGCAGCATAATTGATTTGATCGAAACGTAGCCTAACGAATCTGGTACCTTTATCTTTCGTTACCATGGCTGCCTATAAAGTTGCAAAGAAAACATATGCGAAATGTGTCAAGAATTTACCCAGTATTATTCATTGTTCGCTGTGCTGAGAGCAGAGTTGTGAGTCGTAAAACAAAACAAAAATACATTACCTGTCTTGAGAATTTACAGTAGATAAAGTAGGCCTATTCATACTTGCGCGGATCTATAAAAAAAAATAACATCACTTGCGCAGCATCATGAATCACGAGATAAGAGTGCTGTTCCAGGGTGTAAAAAAGACGAGCTGAACGCCACTACCCACCAGAGATGGGTGGTTCATTCAGTAATTTTTTTTAATGATTATTTCAGGCCTGCCTAACGATTTTAAAGTAACGAAATGCGAAATAGACCGTGTGTGAATCACTTATTTGATTAGGTTTAACAGGGGTTGGCATCCAATAAATGTTGCATTACCGCCACCTACAAGACTGGAGTATAACTCCCTTATACTTTGCTTGAAAAAATAATTACAAATATTATTATTTGTACATCAACAAATCCCTACCATCTAACCCTACACTCACTAAAAACCCACCACCCTACTTCACTATTTAAATCGATCTAGTCCTACCTCAGGCCAACAGGCAGAAAGGAGGGGACACCACCACTCAACACCCTGTAACTTTTCTGACTTCAAGTCTCATTCATTTTTTTACATTTTAGTCATTTAGCAGACGCTCTTATCCAGAGCGACTTACAGTTAGTGAGTGCATACCTTTTTCATACACCCAAATACCTCTCTGCAGCTGTCACCACAACCTTAATTTTCTGCGACTTACGTTCCATCCCTGCCGTACAGTTGATAAATATTGTTATAAACGCTAAAAATCCAATCTTACTGAAACATATATCACTTGTTGACCTATCCCTCTGTACTGGTACATATCTACTACTCACACCACTCCTCTCAGGATCCCTCCCCCTTGACCCATCTTCTTCTACTTTCTTCACTGCCTCAGCATATGACAACTTCTGCACAAC